CTACATCTTCACAGCTCTCTACTACATCACCAGCCATGGGGTGAACATCCGTCTGGCTCAGTATCTTTTCGCTGCTTTCTACCTCATCACGCTGCTGCTTGTCTTCAGGATTTATTATCGTACTAAGAAGGTCAGTCTGTGTCACAAAAGCCTCAGTTACCATTTGGCATTATAAAATTTGCTGTGATGCACCACTTAACTGTAGTGTTCTGCTCATGAAGGGTTCATGTGAGACTCTGTTCATTTATTTCTATGAATTTGTCCAGGTTCCTCCCTACGTGTTCTTCTTTGTGTGCTGTGCGTCGTATCGGATCCACTCCATCTTTGTGCTGCGTCTCTTTAATGATCCAGTGGCCATGATGCTGCTGTTTGGAGCCGTTAACCTCTTCATGGATGGATACTGGACTCTGGGCTGCGGCGTTTACAGGCAAGTGTGGACTCCCTAACAGCACAATGCAGGTTTTCATATAACGTCTTTCTCTGGAGTAATATGTATCAGGTGTCCTTTGCATTTTTGTGAATCTATTTTTTTCCCATGCATTACATGATGAAATTACAACTCAATCTTCCTCTCTTTCTGACAGTTTAGCAGTGTCTGTGAAGATGAATGTGCTCCTTTTTGCACCAGGACTACTTTTCCTCCTCCTGTCTGAATTCGGTCTCATCAGGACAATCCCCAAACTGTCTCTGTGTGCGGCCATACAGGTAAAATATCCCATAGTATTCAGCATGCTAAAATATTTTATAATGTTGTTCATTAGTGCCAAGCATCATTTCAGACCGAATCTGTCTTGTTATCTTAGCTTTTGCTGGGTCTGCCTTTCCTCCTGGAGAATCCCATCGGTTACATGACCCGGGCGTTCGATCTTGGCCGTCAGTTTATGTTCAAGTGGACAGTCAACTGGCGCTTCCTGCCAGAATGGCTCTTCTTGAATCGGTACTTTCACATACTCCTGCTGGCTGCCCACCTGCTCGCCCTGCTGCTCTTTGCTCTGCGCCGTTGGAAGAGGTGAGGCAGACTTTGGCTGTGCCAAGGTTAAGGTTGGCATCATAGATTGAAATGAGCTAGAATAAATGAGGGGTTAAAGTCATGCCAGTTTTTTTTAGTCCATGACACAGCAGGCGTTGGCTCAGTCTGTAGTTGATCTCGTGGACCCACAATGTATTCCAGATATTTAAATGAAGCGTGAGGATTGTATGAATCTGTTATGCAGTGACAACATCATTTTGACTCTTAAACAGCATAGCATTATAAGACAAGGCGACAAGCTGTCATAAAGAAGCACAAAGAGATCTCAATGGCATAGAAGTCCTTGGAGGATTTGACCCATTGTAGCATAGAACATATTACAACCTGATAGAAGCATGTAAAAATGTAGATGCATTTTGTAAGTGGGTTATCCCCTTATCTTAGGGTTAGTTCTATGTTGCACAAATATAATGCAAGTTTTAGATTATAAATTACCGTTACTATTTCAGGGCACTCTTTACCAATAAAGCCAGTAAAGTTCTTAAAGGGCCAGTAACCCCACAAATTCAAAAATACATATTTTTCCTCTTACCTGTAGTGTAATTTATTAATCTAGATTGTTTTGGTGTGATTTGCTGAGTGCTGCAGATATCGGCCGTAGAGATGCCTGCCTTCTCTCCAATATATTAGTTGCAAGAAAGTAGTTCCTAAATTAAAATGCTCACAACAAGTTCTGTGGATTATAACCAGGTCATGATTTCTGGAAAGAGACATTGCTGTTGAGTTTTTCTAATGTATTTTTCTGGCACTTTTAACCATACTGTACACTTGAGTGCCATCTAGCTCCATTATATATGAGAGAAGTCAGACATCTCTACGACTGATATCTCCAACACTCTGCAACTCACACCAAAACAGTCTAAATTAATAAATTACACTACAGGTGAGAGGAAAAATAAGTAGTTTTGATTTTGGGGTGAACTGTCCCTTCAACAAAAAAAATGATGGTACGTACCTTTACATCTACCATCAGTCACAGTTTTTCACAAATATGACTTCACAGTTGAGGAAGATGTTAAGATCTTGTGCTGTATTGATTACAGTTTAGCCATTGAGTTGGAATTACAAACTTTTTTTAAAAAAATTAAATGCAACTATTTCATCTCTTCCCAGGCCAGGAGAAAACATCTTCGAAATCCTCAAGGAGCCGAGCAAGAGAAAAATCCCTGCTCAGAAAAGCACTGTTGATCATATCCTTTTGTTCCATTTAAATCTGGTCCTGTCTGTAGAATATTGTCTCTTAAAGGAACACTTCACCTACAAAATGACCATTTGTATATCAGTTACTCACCCCGTGCTACACTTACCTTTTTCCAGCATGCTTTCACAGTGAACGAAGAATCCAAAGAAAGAGCATTCTTGATGAATTGAAGTAAAGGTGCTTCACGATTAACAACAAAACTATATCAAAACATCCATTTCCAGTATCATCAAAGTCTCATTTACCTAGATATGTGCTTGGTACTTTGCAATTCACCATGGAGGGATACGGGAAAAACAGTGTACTTCACACATTCAGGGTAACACAGTGTAAGGCCAATTTATGGGTGAAGTATTCCTTTGAAGGACAAATTAGGAACACTTGAACTGCTGGGTGTAAATATGAATTGACTTAACATGGTATCAGTCAGAGTATAAATGAATGATGTTGCTAGTATACCCCAGCATTTGTGTCAAACCTTAACAGCCAATCACAGATAGTGCTGATTCTGTTCACCTCTAACTTCATCGGCATGTGCTTCAGTCGTTCGTTGCACTATCAGTTCTACGTCTGGTACTTCCACACATTGCCTTACCTGCTGTGGAGCGGAGGAGTCAAGAAGCTGGCCCACCTGCTGAGGTAAGAGGGAGTGTAAATACTGAACTACAGGTCAGATTTTTATTAGTTGTAGACCTTTAGCATTGGCAAGCACTCAATCACACACTGTGCTTAATTGTTTGCTGCTTGTGCTCAGGGTCCTGATCCTGGGTCTGATCGAGCTTTCATGGAACACCTACCCCTCGACCAACAGCAGCTCAGCCGCACTCCACGTATGCCACCTCATCATCCTCCTGTGTCTGTGGCTGGCTCCGCCGCTGCCTTCAGTCCCGGCAGAAACACAAGAACACACAGCCGTCAAGGACAAACGCCAGTGAGCCACAGCCTGATCTGACTGGCTGTCGTCTTTTAGTCCAGTCAGCTGCTGAACAGCCTCCATCACCCTCCTCTCTTTGATCCCCACAACACCGGTGCAGAGGGGGAGTCACTGGGATAGACTTGGGAATCAGCTCACTGCTTAAAGTGAAGGAAGCTAACGTGTGGGTGCAGTCTGCAGACAGATACCTACATGATGAATTTGTCCCTTGCAGCTGAAGAGATGAAAAGAGGAAGAAAATATGGATTCTCAGGTTTCATTTTCAGATACACAAGAGCGGAATAGTGCTGAGAGCAAAATGTGAATGTTGTGCTGTTTTGAGAGAATTGTTACAAACTACACTCTGCCCATATTTCAATTGGCCTAATCATTTTCCCTTGCTTGATATTCTGATAATATCAAAAATCCATTTAGTGATGCACAAATGATCTTGCGCATTGTATTAAGAAGGCAGGGCATTGAAGAACACCATTAATATGGTATATGAACATGGCACTAAAAGCTTTAAATTATTTGCATATCAGGCAGTAGCCATTTCCACTTGCCACAATAGTTGCAGCACTCTCCAGTACAAGGCCAATAATCATTTCCAGTATGTGTAAAACTAAGCTGTAGACAATCGTGGCTATTTTCCTGATTTGTTACATAACTGATTCAACCTATGTAGTGAGTGGCTCGCTACACTCAGCACAGCAGAGTAGATTTAATGTGAACAAATTGGAGTAGGCTCAGACAAGTGTGACATTTTATATTAAACAGAGATGCCACTTAACCTTTTTCTTCCATGTATGTTGTTTTTTTTTAAAACACATTACAACAAATTGCTAAATTGCGCTGTTTTTTTTTTAATTTTCCCAACAATAATTTCATCATTTAAAGTAAGATTTCTTCAGTTTTACAAATAATCATCATGATAATCAAAATCATTCCCATCTGATGCTGACTGTGATTAAACATTTGGCAAAGTAACTGACTACATATAGACTAAAAAAGCCCATTCAGACGGTCAAGGCATTCTTGTGATTGCATAAAGCATTATATAGATTTATAATAAAAGGCCACTTGGTCTATGTCATTGAAGGGTTTTCTCGTCACATAAATATAAAGGCTTACAGCAGTAAAACTTTTCATGTGAAACCTAAAGGACTGCTTTGGGTCTTTTAAAGTGGCGTCGTATGAGGTACTTACCCATAGTCAGTGTATTACCTGGTGGCAGTGGGCATGCCCTGAGTTTGGAGAAGCAGACAGGCGTACAGACATCGATGCTACGCAATGTACTGCTTTGCACAGGGGCAGCAACAAAACATTTTAGCCTCCTAATGAAAGAATTTAGTATTTTAGATTTTATTTAGAATATTTTTACCGCTTTGTCGCTCTCGTCAAAGTCAGACTCCATTAAGATAAACAGTGATTTAACATTGCTGAACACCAGAGCTACTGGTCTACAGCTGCCTTGATTTGTCTGTGCTTTTGCGTGACTTTGGCATTTAAAAGGGTTAGTTCAGACTGACCAAAGTCACACAATAATACAAACTAACTCACTAATCGAGGCAGAGGTAGACTAGCAGTTCCTGTGTTCAGCGAGGTTAAATCACTGTTTTTATCAATGGAGTCTGGTGGCTTTGATGAGAGCATAAATGCGGCACTGAAGCTTTTGACAAGCCGGATTCCCCATCGGGATGGGCAGCCTGATGGAAGAATGAAATACTCTCAATATAGCGTACACTTGAACTGGTATTGTTTTTTTTAGGTGGCTAGAATACATTTTGCTGCTGCCCCTGTCCACAGCAGTACATTGCTTAGCATCGATGTCAGTACTCCTGCCTGCTTCTCCAAACTGGGGGCGTGCTGAAAGACATCCATTGTGTGTAATTCACTGAATATGGATAAGTATCTCATACAACCCCACTTCAAAAAATCTGAACTATCCCTTTAATATTAGAATGAACTTGGCACTAGGTTATGGTATTAGTTGATCCTGCAGATAAAACACAGGACTTCCTCTTCCATGTAAAGGCGTTGCTTCTTAGGAGTCATTATCATTATTAACAAGTGATTATGCTAATCAGTAGATCTGGCTCAGTTTCCTCAGAGGTCACTGTCTCACATATTATTGGGGTTGTAACACAGCATGTTCAGCTTGATGTTCTCGTCCCAGTGGCGCAGCAGCAGGAACAGCTGTCGTGCAGCTCCCTTCAGCCCTGCTAGGTCCACTCCCTCGGGCAGCTCCTGACAGCGCAGCCAGAAGTCTGCTTTTGCCGCCACCAGCTCCCACTCCATGAAGTAGCCAGCACAGCGGTGCTCGAACCAGGCAAGAGCCACAGCTGTGGCCCAACTCGAGCCCTCCAGGTCCTCTTGAGCCAACTGGCTGCTCCCCTGGAGGTCAGCTGGCTCTGCTGAAGACCCCTCACATACATCTGTCTCTGATCCACGGCCGCTATCTGCCTGGCCGTGGCTCTGGCTCTGAGAGAGGCCGACGGACAACTCCAGGGAGCCCTCCTCCGAGCTGGGGAGGTCAGGGGGTGAGGTGACAGGGTCGCGGTCAGACAGGTGTCTTCGGCGAAGCCTTGGTTCCAGCATCAGGGGAGTGTCGTCTGGAGTGTGGTGGAAAGGAGGGGCGTTTGGTTTGATGAGGGAGCAGGAGGAGGGAGAAAAGGTAACATGGTGGCTAGTGGGTGCACCGGGAGGCCTGGCAGAGGTGGATAAAGATGGAGCACTGGGAGAGGTGCAGCGGAAGGGTGGGCTGAGGCTGCGCCGGTGGAGGCTGTAGGGTGAAGCCCTTTTCAGACGGTCCAGGGGGATCTGGACACAGTCAGAGTAGATCTCCGTCAGGAGGAAGGCTCCTGATGCCAACTGCAGACGCACCTGATTAGACACCATATAGACAGATTATAAATGTGTTGTGTTATAGATGTGTAGTGAAGTGTATATATTGTACATGTGTGCACAGCTCACCAGGGGCAGGTAGTCTGGAGCTTCAGTTTCAGGTTGTTTCTCAGTCTCTGCAGACAGACAGTGGGACTTGAGAGGAACCTGCTTTCCTGATGAAATAGAGGACCTGAGTCTGCCCAGTGGAAATCTAGAATATACAAAAAGACGTGAGTTTTTTTGGCCTTTGAATATCCTTACATTTGGATGTTGACATAAAACACAACCCTCACAGGGAGAGGCTTACACTACAAAGTAACCTGATTACAAACACTGCCACAAAGTTCCCCTTCACAGTGTAATGCAACATTCGAAAGAAACATAAGACAGTGTGAAAGTCTTACCTGGTGCCAAAGAAGCTCTCCATTGACTTGCTCTCGATAGATCGCTGTGAACGAGTGCATGAGGCGCTTGATAATGCTGGGGCTGTGGCAGAGTACGCATGGCCCCCTACACCCACACCAGATAGCAGTGTGGAATAAAACAGAATTGTGTCATCAGAACAGTGATAAAGAGATGTTTCCTGACTGTGATTAAAGGCTCAGTTCACCCTTTTAAAAACATTTTTGTTTTGCTATAAACAGATTTTTTACTGACAAAATCGTCTCTTCAAAAATGGTTTACAGTGTTTACAGCCATAGCCCCACTCTGCACTGGGGTAAAGGCAGAATTTTTTGTCATTTGGGTGAACTGATCCTTTTAGAAGTACCTTGAGGCTTGTTGGTGGGCATGATCAAGTCGCAGGGGAGCAGTTCAGATTAGTTCTCCCTCCCTTCAGACTCACCTCAAGTTTAAAACTGCTTTTCTGTTCAGACGCCTCTAAATTTTGAAGCTACACTGACACTAGAATGTTTTCACTGATCGAGTCGACGATACTTACTAGAGTCCCAGGATGTAAGGCTACAGGGTGAGGCAGGGGTGTCATCTCTGTCTGAGAGATACAAAGATTGTTGATGACCTAAAGTCTTCACAACAGAAATGGGTGGTGGTATTGTTCAGTGCGTCTACCTGTGGAGTTCCAGGTGTCCTCCATGTCCTCACTGTCTCTGCTGGTGCGCCGTCTGCCCAGACCGACAGAATAGGTCCTCTGCCTGCGACTGCCTGACTGGGAACTCCGCCTGTTCCCCAAATGCATCCCTACACACACACACACACACACACACAACATTATACAGTTATTTTCCCAGGCTGGGTAGTTCTCGTGATTATGAATTAAACTTCACGTATAAAATTGTGCTTCTCTAAAATATATAAAATAATTGCTCAGTTTTTGTCTGAGTGTGAGTGAGCTGATAGGAAGCCTCACCTGTCTTTTGGACGTCCATACAGTCTGGCAAGCCTTTGTTGGAGTTGCTATCAGTGGTAGTGAAGGCTGTGTACATGCAGATGATGTTACAATGCTTACTGGTCTGGATGGCCTTCATGCGGTATCGCTTAGCTGAACCTAAGAAACAGTACAGGGTAGTAAGTATGTATACTGGATAACTTAAGATAAATGTTTAAAGTAGTTCAAGGAATACTTCACCTACAAAATCACCATGTTTATATCCAGGGTGTCTACAGATATAACCAAATTAAATTTCAGACTTTTTAAGACCTTTTTAATACCACCTTATAACAAATTTAATACCAAACCTGCAATGGAAATACACATTATATACACACCCATCAGCCAAAACATTCAAACCAATGACAGGTGAAGTGAGTAACTTTGATTATTTTGTTCTAATGCTTTGTTCTGCTGGGAAACCTTTAGTTCTGGCATCATGTGGATACCACCTGACTTGTTCCACCCACTCAAACACCGTTGCAGACCAAGTACGCCCCCTCATGGCAACAGTACTCCCCAATGGCTGTGTCCCCCCGAGCAGTATAATGCACCATGCCACTACAAAAACTGTTTAGAAATGGCCTGTGGAGCATGACAAAAAGCTCAAAGTGTCGACCTGGCTTCTAAATTTCCCAGATCCCAATCTGCTCAAGGATTCTTGTGATGTACCCCAGATGAACCCCTAGTCCAAGGTGGGGCCTCCTTGGATCGGACTTGGCTCCGACCTGTCTAGGCATGGATACTGGATCTCTGTGTGTGTCCTGCTGTGTCTGGCACCAGTGTGTTGGCGGCAGATCCATTTAGTCCAGTGGGTTGTGAGGTGGGTTAATGGCACGTGCCACAGATGCTCATTCAGATTCAGACACTTGAGGTCTTTGTCACATTCCCTGGGCCATTCCTGAGCCATGTTTGCAGTGTGGCATGGTGCATTTTCTGGGTGAGGTATTCCTTTAGGATTTGTCAATCCTGATAGTAATCTTTTATTAGAGTCTATAATCAAGAATGTTCATGGTTTTTGTATTCTTTGTTCACAACTTTAAGATGTCATGAGGTGAGTAACTGATATACAAATGGGTATTTTGTAGGAGACGTATCCCTTTGAGCCTCACCATGTCCAGTGTCGCTCTCCTTCTCTGCCATTTTCTCAAAGTCCCTGATAACTGAGCGCGCAGTCAGCTGGTGAATGATCTCCTCCCATGGTTCCCCTCCTTTTCCTTCTTCTCTCCCTCCCCCACATTCCTCACGTTCTGGTGTCTCCTGGCCCTCAGGGCCCCAGAGGTGCCCCAGGTCCACAGTGGCCTCCCAGGACACAGGCCTGCCGCTCAGCATACCGTGAATGAGTGAGCGGCACTGACCTGGTGGAGGATCCTCTGCTGGAGCAGCAGTAAAGAGGTACTCTGGGTCTGTGAAGCTGTCCCAGTCCAGAGGAGAGGCGGGGAACAGGAGTCCATCTGAGGGTCAGAGTGAGATAGACAGAGATAGAAATTTGTTGGAGGCAAAATAGGAAAGCTGCTGTTCTTGGCGCTGTAGCTTACTGGAGTCAGTGAGGCTTCTGCGGGACAGTGTGCCTCTTGATGGGGGCTTTGTCTCCCCGTCGCTTTCATCCAGCCTTCCTCCCAGTGTTTGGTCGAAGGACACCCTCTCCAGAGCTCTCCTCAGGCGATGCATCTCCAGCTCGCCCTGGGGGGACGAGAAACTCCGTGCTGCCATGGTTGAACGGGCCAGTGCTTTATGTCTCCTACGAGACTCCTCACCTCCATCCAGACGCACACTCTGGTTGTATCAGAAGGAAAATCAAGCAGGTGAAAAAAGTCTGTTAGACTGCTATTGTCTGCAACCACATATGTCTAAAACTACAAGATGTTACAGTTATCTGTTTGTATTTGTACATTACAGCACTTCTTTGGTGCTTTGGCGCAAGTAAAACATCGGTAAGGGATGGACAATCTTTAGCAAATCAGTCTAGTAAGAGTCAAAGGGAATCACCCCTCTCTCAAAGCACTACATGTCTTGGTATCTTTCATTCTTGACAAATATTTCTACCAGTGTAATTGTTGAACTTGAAAAAAAAAATCTCTAAGATTTACAGGACTGAAAGGTGAAAACATTTTCTTCTGTCAAACTATTTTGCAGCGATTTCGGAGATATCGGCCAATCTATTTCAGTCAGTCGTACCTTTTCTGCTCCATTATCAGAGGTTTCCACAGAGAGGTTTTGCTGCCATGCGGGATCTGCCCAGCGAGACAGGGATGATCTCTGTTCAGGTGGGGGCATCTTTTCAAGGCCTTGGGGTAGAGACCCTGTATCCAGCACTGAACCAGGGGAGTGGGGGTCAGGCAGATAGATGCCGCCTGTAGAGTCAGAGTTGGACGAGGCGTGTATGTGCGAGTGGGACTGTGTTTGTAGACTTCGCTCGCTACTGAGAGAGCAGCGAGTAAGGACATACTGCTCCTGGATATATGAGCTCTCCTGGATCCTCCTCCTCACGTCACTGGACCAGTCTAGCTCCACACCTAGAGCGGATAAAAGTCCAACGTTAGCCAGTGTGGTATGAGGTGCCCAGTCTTGATCTATATCTTTTCACAGGAGCCATTGATGAGTGACTGACCTGGACTGGTTCCTGGATCTGAGTTTCTGGCACAGGAAAACTCAGAAGAGATTTCTCTGGAAATCTCCCTCAGTGCCTCCTCCAAGTCGGTGCCATCCGCAGACGTCACCACAGGCATTAACTCGGAAGGAGGAGGAGGTGAGAGCTCGTCATTTGATTGTCCAAAAACTGAACCGGTGGAATCACGATGTACACCTTTATAGCCCCGTCCTTGAGACTATAAAACAGTTAGATTACAGATTTGTTTTTCTAGGCAGACACACACAGATGTACTATTGGAGAATGCAGTATTGTATACCTCTGTCTTTCTTGCTTTGAAATACGTCATATCAAACAGAGTGCAGTATCCGATTAGACGATTCCCAGGATAGAGCGGGGGGATCTCATTGGGTGAAAGGAAAGCCTCCATGTTTTCTGGCAGGTACCAGTCAATCCGTACGTCAGTCAGCACAGGTTCAAAGGCCTTTTTCAGAGACTTGATTAACTGAGGAGACAGATTGATCACAGTATTTCTAAATACAAGTCTTAACAATCCATTTTTACAACTGTAAAAAATACCAATTGACCATATGTATATCAGTTACTAACCCCATGTTAATGCTCTCCTCAAAGCCAGACTCCATTGACAAAAACAATAATTTTACCTTGCTGAACACAGGAGTTGCTGATCTACCACTGCCCTGATCGTTCGTTTGGTTTGTGATATTGTGCATCTTTGGTGTTTAAAAATCTTAGTTTGAATTCAGAAAGTCACGCAATAACATAACTGTTTGAGGCAGTGGACCATCAGCTCCTGTGTTCAGCAAAGTTAAAATTACTGTTTTTGTCAATGGAGTCTGTCTTTGATGTGAGCTCAGATTACCTCTGTTTAGTTCACTTCCCCATCAGAAAAGGCTGTCCATTATGAAAGGACTGAACATATGACTGGATAAATGAGACTTGGATTATACTTGATGAGTTGTGTGAGAGTTTGCACCTATCAAAAGTAAAAGTGACTATTTCAGTTCTGGGATTTAATATTGAAAACTTTTTCAACGATGTTTGTACAGCTGGTTGCCACATTTATGTCATGCCAGATTTTTAGATTAACTCCTCTAGATGTTAACCTAAGTAGAACCCAAGCGGACATTGTTTCTTCTTGCTCATTCCTGGCCAGAAGGCACATCCTGTGTAAGTGCAAGGACTCTTCACCTCCAACATATGGACACTGGATTAAGGATGTTATGTATCATTTACAATTGGAGAAAATCCATTGTTTTATTGAAGGATCGACTGCTCGCTTCTTTGCCACCTGGCAGACATTTTTAACTTTTGTGGCAAATATGGGGGATGAAAACTTGTAATGTGACATGCTATATTCCTACTTATGTCACACAAGTTAATTAATTTGTCGTAATTTTTCATCGTCTCTTTTTTTCCCCCCCTCTGTTTTGGATTTTCTTTGACTGGTCCGGCTTTCTGTTTGTTCTTGTGTTGATGGGAGGTTGGGTGGTCTGTGTTTGTGCATTAATACTCTTTATATCTTTATTGAATTGACAATAAAAAATACCTTGTTTAAAAAATAAAAGTATGTGTTCTGCAGAAGAAATACTCCAGATTATTAAAATTACTATGATTTGAAGTAATACCAATTCAATACCATTCATCAATGTGTATTGAAAGTAGTATTTTAAGGCTGTAGGTTGAGATGGAGCTGCTTTTAACTACTTTGTATACAGTTACATGGTTTAGTCCTTTAATCTAGTGATTCACAGCCCAAGGGTCGGCCCCCCTCCGAAGGGTTACAAGATAAATCTGGCATTTTAAAAATGCTTAAGTAGAAAATTATACTTAAGAAAGGCACTTGAATAAATGTAATTTACTTGTCACTCCTGCTAGAGGCTAAAGTGAAGAACTAAAGCTGTTTCTATTTATCTCGATGGAAAGTGAGATCATACTTGTAATTGTTCTGCAATTCATATTTTGTCCAGTAGGTGTCAGTGCTGCAGTGCTGCTGACCTTGGGCTGGAGCCTCTCCTCATCATCCAAGAACTCTGTCATCCCTCCTGTCAGTTTGGCAACGCCCTGCAGGAGTCTCCTGCAGGCTCGGGGACCAAGGCCCAGGCCAAAGCATCTGCAGAAGGATTGGGTAATACTTTTTTATTACATCCTTTGAGAAAAATAAATTATGACACCACAATTGTCATGTGAGAATTATATTCACTTCCTACTGTAATGGTCTCTGACGAACTGCCTGCTCTTTACCTACAGTGTGCTCTGTCACTTTTTCTGGTTTTTCCATCTGAACAAATCAGTGACGAGCCACTTGCAACAACTTAGACTTTTGCAAGTTTCTATTTCTGAAACCCTAATGACACACAGGCGCTTCCACATGTCTAAGGAAAGAGGAAATTTGGAGTCATTAAACAGACAGAACTGTTATTTGGGTACTCAGAGGGATCACAAGCCATTTAGCTAATTGAGCGTTTGGAAAGAGCAGGGGACCAAATAATCGAAAAGACTGAGATCTTGCTCATGTCCTGTCTCTAAAAACAGCAAGTCTATCTGATTGGTCAAATACTGTTAGCATTATCTTAAGAAGAAGACAGAAGACAATACAAGACCAATATTTGGGACTATGGATACAGAGAGTAGGTAGACTGAAATTTAATAAACATTCAATGAAATTAGATGTGTTGAGAATAAAGAGATATGTACAAAGTGTGCGAAGGGACAGCCAAAATACAGTGGAGAAAGTCAGTGTAGCAGGAGAATACTAATGAGAGATAAATGGAGTTATTGTGCATTGCTGAAGGGCCTGGGGAAAACCAGAGGGGCGTGACTCTTACTGCAGAGGAGAGCACTTAACGGGATTACTGGGCGGGGCAGAAAAATACCTCAGCCCTTTCTTTCTTCTGCCTCTTTCACAGTGCTTTGGTCTCAGTTTCTCAAGATCGCTGTTAGCTTGTGTCCCCTCTCTCTGTCTGTTTCTCTCTTCCTTGCTTTCCTCCCCCCACGTGGTGTCTCGGTCATATTTATCACCTCATTCTGCCTGCACTTACCACACTCAATTCCTCTCTGCCTCCTTGACTCGCACAGTGATTTAATGTCCTATCACAAGGTGGCCATAAGATAAATCTTTGTTAACTAGTTGTTTGAATTAGTGTCCATTTTCTCTGTGTTTTTGCCCTCTCCGTACCATTCTTCACACGTGATGGCTTACAGGTCCAGTGTGTGGGACTTAGGGGGATATATTGGCAGGAATGGAATATAATAAGTGTGTTTCCTTTTGTGTATAATCACCTGAAAAGAATCCTGGCTTTTTCGTTACTGTAGAATGAGCCGATTATATCTGGAGGTATCCTCGTCTGTGGAGATTGCCATTTTGCAACGCGAAAGCCCAGAACAGACAAACCAAACCCTGGCCATTCCCATTCATGCATTGGCCACTGAATTTAAGTTTAAATCACAAGGACCATTTTTTGGAGAGGAAAAAACTGCGGTTAACTGCGATTAATTTGGCACCCAGTAAAAACCCTCTGAACATCTGGATCTTAAGTTATTAGAAGCGGGTGCTGGGCTTGCAGTCTGTCTCCAACATGCTGAACAGCATTGGAGAAAAATTGATTTGTATTGTGAAACTGCTTTTTTTTTCAGTATTTTTACCGGTATTAACCACCTGAGGTCTCATTTATAAAACGATGCATAGGATCTTTACTAAAAATGTACGTACAGACAAAAGCAAAAATGGCATGCGCCAAAAAATATTTAACAATTTCTACAATCAGGCTTCCAATTCAACATCTGCGGTGCCAATTTCCTGTCTCCAAAATGTTCATAAGCATGGGTCAGAGTTTCTCCAATCAAATTTGTTTTTATAGATCAAGACTTTTGCGTGGGAAGTGGCATACGCCTCTTTCAGACCTCGTTTTGTGCGTGCACAATGTTTATAAATGAGACCCTTAGTCCGTTTGTTTTGGAGAGGAGACCTCTGCAGATCTTTCAGTTGTTAAAAACCTCCTGAATGTCTGGATCAGAAATAAAGCGAGCACACATGAAGTTATCAGAGAGAAAAGGTGAGTAAACATTAGCAGGCTTGCGGCAAGTCTGTGACAAGCTGAACAGCATCAGAGAAACATTGATTTGTAACATGAAACTGCTTTTTTGTCTGTTTTTTACCGGTTTAAATCATTGCATCAGTTTGTTTTGGAGAGGAAGAGCACTCTGTGGATAATCCAGTTCTGGTAAAATCTCCTGAACATCTGGATCTTAAGTTATCGGAGAAAAAAAGGTGAGCACACATTAGCAGGTGCTGGGCTCACAGCCCATCTCCGACATGCCAAACAGCATTGGAGAAACACTGATGTGTAACATGAAACTGATTTATTCAGTGTTTTTACCGATTTAAATCCCCTGCTCTATTTGTTTTAGAGAGGAGAAGACCTCTGCAGACAATTCAGCTTTCGGTAAAAACCTCCTGAACAATAAACACTGAAGAAATTCTAACCACGAAAAGTTTCAGCTGGTTGCAATCTGCAATCTTCACCACTAGATGCCACTAAATCCCCCTGAATCTTATACACTGTTCCTTTAAATATCTGATGGGCAGTTCAGTTTTAGCTCAATACCTGCCAGCGCATGTGTTTCTGCGGACCATCTCCAGCACTTTAGCCACGTTGCTGATGGATCCATCTGTGATGATGAAGACCTGGCGTGGATATGAGCGTTGCATGGGCTGCTGGTACACCCAGGACAGCGCCCCCAGCAGGTTAGTGCCCCGCATGTCGGCTCTCATCCTCTGGATGTATTCGTAGGCCTGCATTAGAGTAGCCTGTGTGCATATGCAGGGGGAAGAAAAGGAAAGGTGCTATCAGATCGTAAAGGCTGGAGAAGCAAGCATCAAACAACAACACCTGTCTGACTGCACGGCGCTGCCTGCGCAAACACTGCCTATGTTGTCAAGATAAATTCACTGTTTGATATCAGATTCCCCAATTACCCCGTGAGGGTGGCAAAGAATTGAATCAGCACATCCCTAATAAAGAGAGAGCAAACATACACACATTATCACCTGCCTTAAAACCACCTCGGATCACACTGTGGACAAACATGCCTGACAGGAGTGGAGATGGAAGGACATCCAGTGCCTTAGTGAAAATGCATGAAAGGTCACCATATGGTCGGGAGTATGTGCAAAGACTGTTTGTTCTTGCAGCCCCTAGTCTGGATAAAACCTGATACTCTGCTACTAAGGCAACCCAAAGAACTGACCTATTGCCTGATTAGAGAGTAGACAAAATAGAACAGATAGTCCAACGTGGTTGAAAAACATCTGCTTTCAGAAAACATGATCCAAATGCTCCGTGTATTTTCTTTCACTGAGAAGAATTCATATGTAGTTCAGAGTATCATATGATTTGTTTCTCTTAAAATCCAATAAATAGGACAGATTCAGATAATCATCTAATAAAAGCAAACTCATTGTGTGAAACTAACATCAGTGCAGAGCTTGCTGGAGGTGAACAGAGGCTTGATGGTGGTGCCGAAGCCCACGATGTTGAGCATGGTGACAGAGGGCAGACTCTTCAGTGCCACCACCATGGCATCCTGTGGGAACAAGAAGGGACAGACAGGATGGGGCCAGATCAATGTACGTGCCTTAAACTGACTTAACTCTGGTTCACTGGTGCGTTTCCATCCTGCCTGCAGCTCACCTTTACACGATGGATGTTGGTGCCACTCATGCTGCCGCTGCGATCGACAAGGAACAGCAGTTCTCTGGTGGCTTTTTGCAGCTCCAGAGGTTCGCTCAGCAGGTCGGGACAGAAATTGAGCATCAAGACGGGGCTGCTCAGGATGTCCTTGTGGTATCGCTTCCTCACAAACTCCAACTGCAGGTACAGGTGGAATATCATAATGTTTGTATGCAGTAATGGAGTCAGGGCAGATGAACTGAATAAGGGCTGGTTATTGGTACCCAAAAATAACCTAATACCAAGTAGTATTGAAACTTCTCTACTCAAATCATATTTGCATCCAGTCATTTTTGTATCCAGATCTAAAAGAATTGTCTATTTGTATGGTTTTGCTCACAGCCAATTACTGAAAGCATTTTCAGTTTAAAGCGACGTGTGATTGGCACACTACCACAGCAACTACAACCCATACAGCCTGTGGTACGGTTGAGTCAAGTGCGATGTATTAAATGGAGGTGCCAAGATGCCACCAAAATAATCAAAAGTATTGTTACTATGCACCAGTGATGTCTGGTGGCAGTGGTATCAATTTAAGCGTACTGGTATTGGTATTGGTACTGGTATCGTAATTTTTAAGGCAATACCCAGCCCTAGAACTGGGACACGTGAGATATCAAAGGTTAATAAAGAGAGGTAGCAAGCAGCATGAGTAATGACCAACCTTCCTCTCAGGCTCTGAATCTTTGCGAGTGCAGCGAATGTAATCACGGCGGGCACAGATCTGCTGTTCATACTGGCTGAATGAGAGCCTGCCTCTCTCTAATATGACCAATGGGCTGTGAGGTTCTGTGGGAGAGGTTTGTTAGCTGAGGTCACATTCAAATATCAAAAACAGAAACAAAAACAGAAAAAAGGATGGGGGAACAAATTAGGGATGGTTTTCAGTTGCTCACCACTGAGGTGCAGAATGATCTCTATGTGTCTGTCATACGGATGCTCCTGTGCCAAGGTGATGTAGGTCGCGGAGGCACTTTGGGCGCTGGGGTCTGCATCTGCCCTCAGAGCATGAGTGGGGCTCTCCAGCCCTATACATCAGTTTAGGAAGAAATAAAGAGAGGCAAATCATAGGTTTTAACACGTTTATGAAAAATAATGATTACCTTTTTTAATTTAAGATGTGTAGACACAGCACACATAGCCTGCAGTGATGGAGGTTAAAGCAATACTCCACTCACAAAATGATAATTTGTATATCAATTACTCACACCCTGTTACATTGAGTTTGTGAAAAAAATGTAGTTTTTCTCGCACCCCTCCACGGTTAACGAAGAATCCAAAAACTGAGAAAATTACTGATGAATTGGAGTAAAGGGGGTCCATGTTTAACAAATGCAAAATTACATCAACGCATCGGTTTACAAACTCTCACCTAACTTGTGCAGTATAATCAAAATCTCATTTATCCAGTCATATTCTCAGTACTTCTCAAACAGACAGCAGGGAACTGCACTGAACTGAAAATGAAACTTATCTGTGCTCATGCATTTTCACTAAAACTGGATAAATTAGACTTGGATTATGCTTCATGAGCTGTGTGAGAGTTTGTAAGCTGATGTTTTGATATAGTTTTGCTGTTGTTAAATACAGCCTTCTTTTCCCACAATTCACAAAGAATTTTCTCTGGTTTTGGATTTTTCCTTCACAGTGGAGGCATGAGAGAAAAATGAAGTTTCTTAATGTATTCAATTCAGTACAGGGTGAAGTATTGCTTTCAGTCCTCCCTCTACTTCTTTTGGATTTTTTAAGTTCTGGTGGTGTGTGGATTCAGATTCTATTTAGTAGTAAGTTCACCCACAAATTCAGTATTTCACAGTGACTGAGTTAAGTGCCATTGATTCAAAGATATTTGAGAATAAAGGCAGTACCAGCCAAAAGGCAGGCCCCTCTGACCAGCAGTTGGAAGTTGAGTTCGTAAGGTGCCAGGTTAGCAGCTGGACTGGTGAAGATGGCATGGGCACACTGCTGCTCAGAGTCCAAGGCCCGGTCCTGTTTTCCTGAGGTGGCACCAAAACAGCTGGTTGGTCTGAGGAGGAGAGCAGTAAGGAGTATTTAATGTACTGATACTAATGATGGGTAAAACAGTGTTGCCACAGTTGGTTGCAAAATAAATACCCTGTTTCTTCAGATTTTCCCCCATTTTCACTCTTGCTCGGAGTCATCTGGCCAGTGACAATCGGGGTAAGCAATGTGGGGTAGACAATGCGGATTGCTCCGTTTTCTAATGTGGGGAGTTCTAGTGTGGTGCTGATGATAACGGACACTATATCCATGGGGCCAATGAGGCCTGTGCCCACGATGAAGGTGGTTCTTTCAAGGTCTTCGTCCAGGATGAGATGTCCTGAAGCAGAAAGACAGCATTCACAGACATAATAAAATATTTCAGACAGACACAGTGGACAGGTGGGAGGAGGGGCTGGATCTCATCTCAGATTTTACTTAAAAAATGGGCCTCCTTGAATCAATATTTGTTGAATCCTCCTTTGTTCCAAAGAGCACACTGGTAAATACCTAAACATGCATTATTTACCTTGTTAAGTATTTGCAAGTTAAAGTCCAGCACTCACTGAAATGTATGTCAGGATCTTTTTTAATCCCACAAAAGATGAAGAAAATAAAATGTAAATCTAGGATAACTTAAAAGACCCTCCACTGCTCTCCATTTTTTTTTCAACTACCATCCCTTCAGAAAAATAAAATAAAAATAAATAAATAAGAAACCTCCTGTTTGACCCCCTAAGAATTTTTGTACAGTCCCAAATTTAAAATCATCTACCACTGAAATCAAATAACCTAAGGCTGACAAAGAGTAACTTAAATCTGTGTGTTTTGTTGGCTGTAAGAGAGAAATTATTCCATGCACATGATGCCACCATTTCCAATAAAAAACTATGCACTTCAAGTTGATATACGTTTGTACTTTGCAGCTTCACCATTAGGCAGGCAGCCAAGTCTATTTGCCTCCTTCATCTGTCCTCTCTATCCTCAGAGAGGCTAAAACAGGACAGAGAAGGGACTCACTGTGGCTGTATTTGTATTCATGTAGAGACCAGACCATTACAGTAATGCAAGACGGCCCACACTACATCATAGAACAAATGACCATCTTTATCTATAAGGAAAACACAGGAAGTCTCCTCCCTTCCTCACCGTTGGTGCATTGCATGTCGAGGTTGGAGTTCCCGCAGCAGCCCCACTCTCGGCCATTCGCACAGTGGCCTTCAAGACCAGATCCAGGGCAGCAATCTAAACAGCAGTCCTTCAGCTTCCCTCGGCTCTGGATCTGGACCCCCACTAACCTGCCCGCAATCACAGCCTCGAAGCCCACCACAACCTCCTTTTCCCCGAGAGGGTACACAAACACACCTAGAGGACCGAAAATGTTTGTTACACAGAACAGTGATTTTAGATTGTTGCATCAATTTAGAAAGAAATCAAACTACACACCATGAAGCATATTTCAAAGTACAACAGATATTTTGTAAGAGCATGATAAAGGTCTGCTTTGCCACCCTCCCAGACGTCTGATTTAGTTTTATTGTCTTTGCTCTGGACTTTGGTGTCTGACGAGCTGCTGGCATAGCAGTTTTGGAAAAAAAAAAAAATCAATTTATTTAATTTGGGAACTTTTCTTTTTCAGCTTGAAGTTTCGAAGCACTGATAAATTTTCTTTGCTATCTGTCCTTGTGAGCTTAATGAACCATAGACTGACTATAAGTGTTTTGCTCTTGATTTAAAATGTTATTCTTTTCTAACGCAACCTTTGCTGTTGTAGGAGACGGTGCTTCCTCTAAATTTCAAATAATCTGTGGTGTTCCTCAAGGGTCCATCTTTATCCCTCTGCTGTTTTCCATTTACGGCATTTTTAAACCACATTTCTCCTCAATGTATTTTGTTACTGCTACGCAGACGACACCCACTTATATGTCCCATTAAAGCTACCACTGCTTAGCTCACAGTAAATCACTGTCTCATGATGTCTTGTATTAACCCTTAAAAACCTGAGCAAATTGGCCTGATTCCTTTCAAGAACGCACAACAAAGGCAATGAGCAGCTTTACAAGAAATGTCCTGAAAAAATAGCAAGAAATTAGGTAGAGGTTAAAGTTACACGAAATTCTCCCAACAAAGAGTTTAAAAAAGGGTAAAATGACCTGAAAAAAGTTCTAAATTTATATATAGAGAGAGAAAGAGAGTTTTTTGTAATATAATTTTAAAAAGTACAATTCTAATAATTAAAAATAATTTTTTTTCTGTGCATTTTTCTCCTAGTTTTTTTGTTGTTGATAATTTTCTAATAATTTTCTCCGTATTTTTCTTTTCTTCTTGTCACGTTTTACTATTTTCTTGCAATTTGCAAGACATTTCTTCCTAACTTGCTCATTACCTTTTTAGCACATAAAAGAAACCAAACCAATTTGCTCAGGTTTCAAAGATTTAAATGCTTGTGAAAGGCGTCTGAATGCAGCACAAGAAAACTGATGTGTCTTCAGTTTTAAAGGGGTTAAAACCAGACATCACAACCTTTTGTGGTGGCATTTCAAATAATATTGAGCTGGCTTCTAGTACAATAATAAGATGAGGCAAGTTAGGTTAAAAACTTTTAAAAACCTTTTTAATGCCACCCAAATTTCAGACAAATTTTATAATAATCAAAACTGAAGAATTAAAAAAGTTAGGTTTAGGGACAATTTTACCAAAATCTTGTAACATAAATCATGGCTTTTTTATTCCATTTTTATTCAATTCAATTCAATTCAATTCAGTTTTATTTATAATGCCAAATCACAATTTGCCTCAGAGGGCTTTATAGCCTACGACATCCCTCTGTCCTTGGACCCTCACAACATATAAGGAATAACTCCCCCAAAAAAACCTTTAATGGGGAAAAAAATGGTAGATCCATAATGGTAATCCATCCAGGTGCGGCGGAGATGAGGGTAGAAAAGAACAAGGAAATACCTGACGTTTAAGGCGAGTTTTCATGGTGATTTGGGGATACCACTGCTGTGATTCCACCATGCCAAGTTTAAAAATGTTTTGTATAAAGTACAAAAAGCCTTATATGCATTACCTTTTACCAGCTTCAGACATGCGACGAAATCTTGGTTTAATAGCCAATTTTGGTTGACTTCGCATTTTCCATATAGAGACAGCAAGCTAGACGACAGTGTTGTTGGTTGTTGTTGCAAATTATTTTTAAAAAGTAGATGTTACCAATTATTGAGATATTACGATGCAATGTCAGGGAAAAACAATTTATAAAATCCTACTTCCCATGTATTAGCATTTTGAATACCTTTGAAAGATTGATTGAAGACATTTTAAAACCCATCAGGACCCTTTTTAATTCTTTTTATATCAATAAATCCAGTGCCTTTTAAGACTTTCTAAGGATCTGTTGGAACACTAAAAGTAGTCTTCTGATTTCATGACATATAGAGTCAAATTACGGTTCTGTTCAAAATACAGTTGCTATGATTATCACTTGTGACTCGAGTGTATCATCCAACTACTCACCTTCTACAGACTCTATGTCAGCATTAGCATAGGTAAGCTGTGCGGTGATGCCCAGGGAGCAGCCATTGGCACAGGACTTGATGCAGGAGGCCTTGAGTAGCAAAGGTTCCCATGTAGAGCAGTTTCTCAGTCCCACCATCTTTTCAGGGCATCAACAAGCGTCTACTCTGCTGGTTGCATGAGAACACAGGTACACAGACCAGGGAAACAGTCTGAGCACGCAGGAGTAGGAATATGTGAGCATGCATTTAAATTCTCTCATTTTCCATTCACAGAGCAATCACAGTCATCTGTAGAAATCAGACCTGATTTTGTCTGCATTGATTAAGACGTCTGAAATGTTAATTGTTTTCACATGTTTTTCCGTATACTGCATATGCCTGGCTGATATCTATTTATATGTACACGTCAGCTTTTGGACATGTAACCAAGGTATCTCCTCTCCTCAGGCTCTTAGCAACCAACTGTGATAGTTTGAGTGTAAAAGGGTCGGTCAATCATTAACTTTGCAGGTCAGCACATACTACGCTATGCATCATGCCTATCATATGCAATCAGTCACCAGCCTGTATGCAAATCATGAACTTACGACTACTGTCTCACTCTTACTGAACTGCAAGGACCTGCACAGTAAGAAATGTTAAACTATACTTTTAATTTTTTAAAAACAGAAACAGAAACTTAATAACAAATCAACTAACCCCAATTTCCTTTAAGGTTTCCATTTATAAAAGTCAAGCTGTACGCAATAATTCTTCATGACTGCCACTTAATAACTTTAAGTGCAGCAGGTGCAGAGACCAGCATGGAGACTGCAGCTCAGCAAACGGTTGACTGCACAGAACTGTTTGTGTATGCACACTCACACACACATGCGTGCGATTGTGCATGTGCGTGTGTGTTTGCCGTGGTCCAGGTAATGGTTTTTTCACATCTACCTTTCTAACAAGATCAACAGCCTCCATCTGGCTACCGTGCTCTTGGCTCATAACAGGCAAATAATAAATGCCTGGTTTGTTAAAGTGGGACAAACTGATGCTGTCACAACACACACTAAAGTAAGTACAGCACGGCACCCTGCTGTAGACTGCTGAGCCCCAGAGCTGATGAATAAGTCTGCTCAGCTTTATCAGTAAGGAATAAAGTGATAATGACTTCTTTACACGTAATGAACTGGTTGTGTGTACCTGTCTGTGTGTGTGGTTTTAATTATATGTCAACACATGCACACACTAAGCTTGCAAAGTTCTGTCTGAAACTCAAATGCAGATATTTTCAACACTCAGTAACACATTTTGGCAAATGGCAAAGTTGCAGCAGCTATCCAGAAAAACAAAGCATCCACAGTAAATTTAAAGTCTGCATTCTGTGAGGTTTAATTATTCAGCCTGGGTGTTTGCAGTAGCATAGCTGGCCAAGACTTAGCTCTAGGCAACACTGCAGTCCCTTTGTGTCTGTTACAAGCTCCAGATAACAAGTAAAATAATGATCCAGGAACACTTACTGTACTGTTCAGTGCAGTGTCTGATAATCTGCCTCTGTGTCCAGTGTCTGCATCACTCCACCATCACATCTGCTCGCGGGTTTCCCAGTGATACAACGGCAGGAGTTTTCCTGGTAGCAGACACTGCTCTCTCCTCTCCCTCTCTCTCTTCCTCTATCTCAACAAATCCACCAGTTGCCCTAAAAGGACAACAATCATTTCTCAGAGTCATACATTCAGAGATATGATATTACAGTGTCAGAATATGAATATCATCTGCGTGCATTTTAAGAGTATTGCTTGTATAACCGACTATGAAACATCCAAGCAAAATTTGGAATAACTGCATGAAATTTATTTCCAGTATCGAGTGATATATGAATTAAAATCTCCCTTTTTCAGAAGACCTGGAAGTCTCACTGCTGTGATCAATCACCACCACGCAGCTCTGCACTAACCTACATTTCCTGTCAAGTGAAATGTCATGTGCTTACCTGCTCTGACCTGAACCCACAGAGCTGATCAGAAACTCTGATCCTGAACCTGCTGTTCAGCCACAAGCTAACACACACACCGGTAAGTGAGGCAGAGCCTGCTTTTCATCCAGACAATTGGCTGTGATGGTAGCAGCACCATTATTCATGGCTAATGGCTTGGCCAGAGAGAGGAGGGGAGTGAGGGGAGGGGAGGGAGGTGTTCTGCCTCTGTCTCTGCCAACAGGTCAGTCAGACAGCAGCAGCAGCAGCAGCAGGCGTGGGTAGGTGAGACCAAAGAAGCAGCAGCTTTTTGTCTTCGACTCTCCAGTTTAATGGGTCCAGTGCTATAAAAGTGAAAAAGGGAAAAACAAACAGTAAATCCACAAGTCTGTAACAGAGATATAGGACTATGACTAACTATATCGTGTCTTTATTTTAATCTTATTTATTTATATTTTTAAAAAATTAATCTACTGTAAATGTAATGAAAGCATAAATATTGTTCCTGTTATTGTTTGCCTCTTGTGTTATAAATATACTTTTATCTACTGTATATGATCTTTATTACAGACCAAAGTTGGCAATAAAACAGAATAATAAAAGGGGTTGTTAATTAATTGCTGCATCACATGTGTAAGTGAGTACTTGTAGATTAAAAATCATCATTTTGTGTGTTTCTCAATTGATTATAAGTAAAATACCTGCCATTTTTAGCTGTTTGCAATGATTATTAATGAATAAATGTGAGACGGAAGTTAATGAAAAATACATAAAGTATATTATTACTACCAGGAAGTATATTATTAGTACTATCTTATTTAATTTTCCTTCATTTTGCCCTGTAAATATGAATGTTTTTGTTGATTTAGGATGGATGCATGCTGTGATTTTAGTGCACCACAGGATCATTCAACACCAATGCTTTTGTCTTCTACATTTGTTAACACAGACAAGGTAAGAAACTATGCTACTGCTTAATTTAATCTCTAACAGATAATTAGTTTGATTGCTAACAAAAGAATCACCCAATCCAAGAAAGCAATAAATAATTATAGCCCCATATTGTTTTTTGAGACAACAGGAAATGAGTAAAGTACTTTGTAATTAAAGAGTACCACATACATGAGAGGTTAGTAAGAACTGAAGACACAATATTGTTTGTTTTACTGATATTTTTCATTATTATTTGGCACATGGCTTGCAGGTGCAGGTGCATGTGTGTATGTGTGTGTGAGACAGAGAGACAGAGACAGAGGGAAAAGGACACTGAGGGTCAGAATAGTAGAATACCTCCTTTTGATATTTCAGCTGGAGGCACTCTGTTTTGATGTTCATGTTGTGACTAAAAGATATCTATATTGGTGGAGGTAATATATTAAAACAGAAGTGCTCTAACAAAAATATTAGGAACTCAATACGTTATTGTCACTGTCCCTTCCTCTAGATGTTTTTGGTCTTGCTTATTTTATGATACACAGAGGGAGAAAGCATGGAAAACTTGTGATAAATACTGTATAAATAACAAGCTTAAGGAAGTATCTTTCAAGATATTACATAATATTTTTTCCCATAAAGGTGCTGCTAGAAATATTTAAACTCGATATTGATCATAAGTGTCATTTCTGTAGACTGGAAAAATTCAGTATTTGTCTCTTGTTCACTGTAAATACACAAAAATGTTGCCAACTTTCTAAAAAGAAACTTAAAATAAATGTTAAAATAAATATGTTTGATGTAATGCACTACATCTAAGTCAAAATGAGATTGGAAATGACATGTTGTTTATCATACAACTCTTTTTATTATTTTTGGAAAATCACATATTCATAAGGAAAAATGGTCATGAACCAAACCAACTTTGCTGCACTTTATTGGTGACTTTCAACAATATTGCACCCTGTTACCTAATGTTAAGAAGAAGAACAACAACAATGATATCAATGTATTTTTTTAATTCCTTTTTTAGTTTTTGTGTTCTTAATTTGTTTTTTGTTTTTTTTTTTTGTGGGGGGGGGGGGGGGGGGGGGGGGTTAATTATTATTATTTTTTGGCTATGTGTATACCTGTATTTCTATAAATGATTTCATGCACAGTAAAGAAAGTGAAAAAGTGTATCACTGAGAGGTTAATCAGTCTTTCCAATCTGTGTCCCACACTGCCTCCATGTGGCCTTTTTCATTTTCTCTCTATTTAACACCATGTCATGGTTTCTGGGAGAAGAAATTCAAGTCAATCACATTATTCACGTTTTAAATAATATCTCTTATGAAATACTACATTTCCCAACATGCTTTAGTGGCTGGATCAGTAACATAATCCGGTTAAAACCTGACTAACTTGTGTGACTGTGTCAAACTCCGGTCAACAAACTGGGGCTGCACTTTTTGGCAGTTTGATAAATTGTTAATGGTTCCTCTGAAGGCTGAGAAATTAACTGGCTACCTGTGTTTTAAAAAATACAGGTGAGTGATCAACAGTAAATATGAAGTGTATAAATTACTTAAAACTTTAATGTAAGTGTAGTTTTTGAAAATTTGTAGTCCTATTCTTATTCTGCTAACAAAGTAGCTAACGTTAGCCTCCAAGTATGGACGACTGAGCGAATTTGACGACTGAGCTAACGTTAGCTAGCTAACAAGCAAAATTAAATGGATTATTTTAGCTTTGTTTAGCTAAGTTTGAATCTGGACTTTTGGTCTGAATAAATAAACACAGTGGAGAATGCTACTTTCCAGTAGCTACCCCTGTTAATAAATGTTAATAAACAGCTACACCAGAGTAATAAACAGGGTTTAACATTGTTGTGAATGTTTATCAACATGAGTATTTAGTCTTATTTACTGTGAGTCTTTTTGGAAACACTCCCCCTGGAACAAGCTATCTTTGTTTTTTGATGAATTATACAAAACAAAGCAAAAAAAAAAAAAGCTTTTTCACAATTTTTAATGTCTCCCGCAATTTTATTGCAACAAATATGCTTAAAACATAGCAACTTTCATCATACTTTTGTAGAAAAGTTGCTGCAAAATCCAAGTTAGGCTGCATAAACTCGAAAAAAAAAAAGGGACTGATTTGTGTTATGACACTGTGACGCTAACTGCTTCAGTAGCTACACCTGCTGCTAGCTGTGTTGCTGCGTCCACAGGAGTCCACTATAACCACAGCTGTAACTTTTTAAAACATAACTTGCTACTTAGCTTTAAAAATCCTCAACCAGAAGTGGTTAACTGCAATTAGCCTGTATCATCTTCAGTTTAACTTATTGAGCTGACTGTGCAAGGAGCTAATGAAGGCTTTATGCATCTGCCAGGTTCAGGGCTTGACCATATCTAGTTACTCAAAACTCCTGTCACTTCTCAACCTCAAATCATGCAGAGCATTGCAGCTCTGCCAGGCTGGACTTCAGCTTTATTAAAAGAAATTTCAATTTTGTGACACTAGATGTCAGCCTCTTCAAATCAGCTGGAGTATGTCAGAGGTGGACTACAATCATTTAATATAGTTGCTCCCTTTTCAGCCATCTGGTGCTCCAAACAAGGACTATATTCAAATAGTTTCGCTAACAGTCTGTAATTACCTTCATTTAAATGAGCTGGTTTCTTTTATTTCATTGCCAACTTGGCTGTAAGGACGCAACCCTGCACATAATTACATCATGTAATGTATTTCTCAGCACAGACTATTTAACATATGAATGAAAGTATTTATTTTAAGTACACAAGTTTGGTTTAGAAGATCTATACAGTTGCTGCTGCCTCAGAAAAGGCCAAAACATTCTCAAGGACCAGGACACCATCTGTTTGAACTGCTGCCCTCAGGCAGGAGATATGGGACAGTTAAAGCCAGGACAAACACAGCATTTATCCAAAAGCAATAACTGCATTTCATGAATGCACAAAGGCTTGCCTGTGGCAATATGTTGGATGCAATATAAGGGATTTGTGCAAAAGGTGGAATGCGCAGTGTTTCTTAAGTGTCATATTGTTTACTGTTTTACTTTTACTTTTTACGATATAGTTTGTTATTGTTTCTATATGCTCTTTCTTTTTACTTATCCTTTCACTGAGGTGGTTGCATTCAATTTCACTGTACATGTACAATGACAAGAAATATTCTATTCTGCTCTGTTGTAGTTTGCAGTTTTCATGCTTAACATTCTCTCCACTTTGCCTTTTTCATACTGCATGATTTACAAGTTCTCCTTTCTCAGGTTGTCCTATACTCAGAACATTTAATGGAAAACAGGAGCTGGTCAGTGTTTGGAAGCTGTGGGAGCTGTTGAGTAGGTTGGTGTATGTGCATCGAAGCTAAAAACAACTGGATATTCTGTCGTAGCAGGGACATTGCACCAGAGGGAACCCACAAGATCACATAATGGTGAGCAACTTTTCTTATAAGCTCAACTGTTTGCACTTAGAATGTAAGTAAGACTGTTTTTTTTACTGTACTTGTCGCATCTTGTTAACTGCTTTCTAACAGAAGACGATTTAAGTTGCAAAATATTCTACAGTTAATTTGCTGCAATATAAAATGATTCTACCTTATATGTATTTGTGCACTGCGGCCCTGCTAGTAAGCACATCTGTATATGACAAACAAAAGGTTTGCTCATTCTGTTGTTGTTCATGTATTGTGGCTTCAGGCACAAAGAGTGTGAGGCTGAGTCTTAGCAGCAGGTGGACAGAGTGAACAAGTGCTCCAGCACGTTGAGAGGCACATCTAAGTCTGACCTCCCTCCCTCCCTGCAGGTAAGGTACATCCACCTGCACATTTAAAGTACTTCCAATACATCTACCAACCAAAGCCTGGAAGAGGAAAGGATGGAAGGGCATGCGGCCAATCAGACGGGCAGGGTATCATTTAAAACAGTGGTTACCAACTGGTGGATCGCATCCAAAAGTTGGTCGTGGGTCCATCTTGAATGGACTGCAAGTGACTTGCAAACATGTGGAGTTTGTAAAAAATGTACTTTATTTTTGAAGGACAGTAAATTTCCAGCACTGCCTTTTATTTTGAAGTGTCGTTTCCTGTTGTAGAGTGAGTGAATAACAGGCAGCTACTTAACAGAGACAGCAAACTAGCCCGACGACATGGCAAAACGCGAGTATGATGCTGAATATATTAAACTGTGTGGACCTTGAACTAATGACGAAGGAGAAATCTGGACCCCGTGGCTGGACCAGCTGGGAACCACTGGTTCGATAAATTACGATGCCAGTACTGATACCACGACCCTTAAAGTGATACCGATACTTATAGAGTGCTTCATTTGATAACATTTGTGTTTTTACTTCATTTGATATCTACCGTGACAATGGAAGCATTCTGTTGCATGGAATGCCTCCACCACTTCGGATGATTGATCTGATTGTTGAATAACTCATACCGCAGCGGTGCCTGGACAGTGTGACGTGTGTGGTTGTGCTGCTGCCGTGGTCCTGCCAGATGCCTCCTGCTGCTGCTGCCATCATTAGTCATTAGTCATACTTCTACTGTTATTATACACATATGACTATTGTCACACAAGTATACTGTCAGATATTAATACATACTTTCAACATATTGTACCACAGTAGCCAGAACTATAACTATAATATTATTACTTTCATTAATGTTGTTGTAAGCTACTGTCATTACCTGCATCTCTCTCTCTCTCTCTCTCTCTCTCTCTCTCTCTCTCTCTCTCTCTCTGTCTCATTGTGTCATATGGATTACTGTTAATTTATTATGCTGATCTGTTCTGTACGACATCTATTGCACGTCTGTCCGTCCTGGAAGAGGGATCCCTCCTCAGTTGCTCTTCCTGAGGTTTCTACCGTTTTTTTTTCCCCGTTAAAGGAGTTTTTTTTGGGGAGTTTTTCCTTATCCGCTGTGAGGGTCTTAAGGACAGAGGGATGTCGTATGCTGTAAAGCCCTGTGAGGCAAATTGTGATTTGTGATATTGGGCTTTATAAATAAAATTGAATTGAAAATTGAATTGAATTGTGATTAACAGTCACATTTTCAAAGTGTTCAAATCAAGTGGCACAGGCATGTAGTATAGAAATACTTACGAACATTTTGGTGGCATCACTCTGAACTACCAGCTCTGTCAAATACACTGTACTTGGCTTCACCACATTACAGACTATATCCTCCTGCGACCCTGCGTCCTCATATCAGGACATCACATTTTGGGTTTACATGACCTTATACTTCATTCTGCTTAACTTAGACCTGTTGTCCTCGTTTGTGGACACTATTTTTGTACCATCTAGTGGTAGTGAGACCACAATACACTAATCCATGTAAAAACAAGATGGCAGCCATCTCTGCCAAGTCAGTCTGCAGCCATTCTCGGAACCCATCGGCTGTATTCGGCGTCTGACTTCCAGCAGACGGCGAAACACCCCCCCCGATTTTTTGGCATTCCGGTTTGATTTGGGCGGAGGAGGCGAATTTCTGTTTCCGACTTCCGTTTATATATAAGTAAATATGCTGAACCATTGTGATGGATTCAGAGTTTGCAATGACGCCAATTATCATTAGTTCACTGCACGGAGCGTTTAACCTGGCAACAACTGCAGCCGGCTCAAACGTGATTGATCAATATCACGCGGACTACAAACAGCCTACAACCGGAAACCAGGGTTCTTCCACTCTTCTTCCGGAGGCAAGATCTCCGGGGTTTGCCTACAGACTGTACGATGTAGAGTCTGTATATAGAGACTAGTCTGCAGCCGATCCCAATACAAAAATGGACAAGGTCCAAAACCTGATCACATTTTATGGTTGAAACTTGTTTATTTATGATTAATAACGTTCATAGTTTGATATGGCAACAAATTTGACCAATTTTAGCAACAATAACAAGCTAAGACACTGTTAATAAGAAAGTTCTCATTTGAGGACTTGGGACTTAATTATTTATGGCAATGATTTTTTTTTATACTTATCAGGTCCTACTGATCCCAAATAGCTAGGAGAAATCAAAAAAGCATAGCAACCAAAACTTGGGGTCTCAGGAGGATATGGGTATGAGCTGCTGCGCTACTGAGCCAATCAAACGTCACATTAAATTAAACCGCTTGTGGTGATTGGCTGCGAGCAAAACCATACAAACTATCATTCTTATCTCTAGATCTGGGTACGAAAACAGATCGAATGCAGGTATCGTTTGACGTTTGAAGAAGTTTCAGTACAACTTGGTACTGGAATTATTTTGGCTGACATTTTGAAAGTAGTGAGTACTGGTACCAGTCCTACCAGTCAGGGCATTGAGTGCCAATTTTCACTCCTCAAACTTCGCTTAAAGGTCAAAGATACAGCCTCCCAGTATCACTTACCATTGAAGCATCATTCTGGGAAGGGGGCCCACCTCATGTTGGGCTTGGCTGAGGAGACAGAGGGCCCATCATTTTGTTCATGAATAAAAATTCACAGAAACTCAACTCAAATTTGAATTTTAAAGTCAAACTTTTATTTCGTCATGCTTCTCTTGATTAAATTTTACCAAGTTGTTTCATTCAGCAGAATGTAATATTTTATGAGAAGACAAAGGGCCTGTGTAGTTTAATTATTATCATAAAAAAACCTGCAGTGTTTCCACATAAACTTCATCAACCACATCATCATTATCATTTAATTTATATGGTGGATAAGTGGATATTTCATTATTGAACAGTTGGTGGTTAATGTGCATTTAATGGCAGTTAATGTGATTGTTGAGGTCATAATAGATCTAATTAACAACATGTTTAACAATGACCCAATACAGGCCTGTGCAGACGAGCTGCTTCTGCTTGACTATTGTCAGGGGGTTCAAGTGTCTGTCTGTGCTGAAATGTTGGGAACCTCTTCTCTGTTGCGTACCCCACTGACCTAGATTTCAATTGTTTTCTGCCTGAGACAATGGGAGAAATGGTTTCATAACCGAACACAATACCTGGGTGTTATTCAACACGATTGTTGTTAAGATTCTCATTGTGGTGTGATTTTGTGCTGAGCATTGTGCGTTTTCTTTATGTAACCTGCTCGAGCAGCCAGCCACTGATGAGCCTGTGCAGCCCACAGTAAATCACTTGTAGACGGTTCAACAGATGATTGTGCATGCACAGAATTTGCTTCAGCCCAGCAAGTCCAATCACTGCCGGGTCAAACACAAACATACTCTTCACGTCATTTTTTTAATCTTTTTTTTTTTTTTTTTTGCATAAAATCTTATTTTTTCAAGCAATTTGATACTGACCAGTCATTACCTGAGAGAGAAATATGTTTTTTAGTGGCTCACCAAAAATTTAGGACAAGTTAAGTAAGTCAAGCTGTCACCTGAGCAGAAAGGTTGCTTTCTTAATCTAATTGAGGATGAGTCTGTTCTTAAACAGCAAAACCATTTTTGTTCTCTGTTAGGCAATGCAATTCTAATTGTCTGAAAAATGTCTTTGCACCTGTTACACCTGAATGTGTTACAGGTGCATCACAGGACAGTTAAATTCAAATAACAGTAGCAGACAATGTCTTGCTTACTGTTGGGTAATGCAACTTTTTAGTATAGTCAGGGCAAGGCAACTTTATTTGTGTAAGCACCTTTCAAACAAAGTTGCAAACTAAAAGCACTTTCCTTGATCCAGTGGTTCCCAACTGGTCCAGATTTCTCCTTAGTGATTCATTCAAGGTCCACACAATTTAATATATTAAGCGTCATACTTGCATTTGGCCATGTCAAGGGCTACTTAGCTGTCTCCATCAAGTGCCTGTTTATTAGTCAGTTACCCTACTGCAAGAAATGGCACTTTAAGAAAAAAAATCACTGTACTTCAAAATGAAGTGTTTTTTTTTTTTTTTACAAACTTCAACCCACTTTTGGGCCGCGACCCACCAGTTGGGAACCACTGCCTTAATCGATCATTGGTAACATTAAAATCAATTAAATGATCAATCAATCTTGTTTATACCAAAGAATACCAAGTGTTTTTTTTCCCTCAAAGCTCACAACAACATGTCACATATTCTTTAATGGCACTGAATAGCCCAGATGGAGGCCAGACTAGATAATGTAAAAAATACCTGGAGAGCCAGCTGCTTCTCTCATCATATGGGTTATTAATTAAACCCAAACAAATTAGATAAAAGCAACTGTTTCATCTTGGAAACAGTGGAAAATTATTCAACTGAAACCAGCAGCCCTCGCTGACGACCTTACTCTTCTTTACTGTGGTCATGTCTGCTTCCAAGTAGGAAATGTCTGCCTTTAGATAACTGTTTGTTTGCTTGTTTGCTGTCTGTTAATGAAAATACATTAGTAATGCCTGCGGAGGTCCTACCTGATGCTTGTCTACAAACTGTTTGATAGTCCTGCCATTGTGAGGTGAATGGCAAAAAAGTGAACTTTCTTGACTAACTAATATTGTGTAGTAAATGGACCTGCACTAGTATGGTGCCTTTCACCTTTTGTTGTCTTCTGACCACTCAAAGTGCTTTTTTACACCAGTCACATTCACCCATTCACACACTGGTGGCTGAGGCTACACAATGTGCCACCTGCTACTCAGCTTTTTAACACACACACACACCAATCCAGCAGCCATCAGGAGCAATTTGGGGTTCAGTATCTTACTCAAGGATGCTTTGAACCGCTGATCTTCCAATTAATGGAAGCCCTGCTCAACCTTCTGAGCCACAGCCACCTGTGCTGCGGGGCACATGTAGTATATTTAGTATGTTTTCAACAACAAGCTACAGGCCTTTTAAAAGCAGTCCACAGGCCATGATTGGCGCACAGGCCGAACTTTGGACATGCCTGTCAAGATGTAGGGGCCTAGATATATGAAACACGTTAAATATAACTGAATAGTGCTTCACTTGCCCATCTCATTTTCCAGTGTCGTCACTGTGCTCTTCTTCCAGGCCCCAAGATGGCAACCTTGTCATAAAATAGTGCCCTTTGTTAGCTAATGTTAGTCATTGAAACATGGTTTCAAAACACACCTCCCTACTGATAGCTTGAACATCATAGGAGAGTACACATTGTTTATATTTCACAATCAGATCTTAATTTCACATTGTAATAGGAGACTCCCCAAATTCAATAAAGGATGTAAAAGCACAGTAGAGAAATTAATCAGTCAAAGGCACAAAACAGCAGAGACTTTTCTTTTGATTTAGAGTTGACTGAAGTTGGGGAAATTTAAAGGTATATTGTGCAGGATCTCCCTAAAAGATGATGTATATACTCAAAAAAAAAAGTAATCCCTCTGAATCGTCACATACGGCCCAATAGAAGTGTGTGCCACTGTATTTATCTGTCTCTGCCCTCTGCCTGTAGTCTTTATTTTCCAAGAGGAAACTATAAAAATGGCGGACCCAACATCAAAAAATGCAAATTGTAGGAACTGAAATGCCAAGTGCATATAGCTTGGGTTGACTTTTACTTTAATAGCCAACAATTCCTGCATAGTCTATCTTTAAAATCACGAGGAAGTTGGTTTCAATGATGTTTAGCACAGCAGCTAAAAGCAGCTTCACCCTAATTGGTTCTGACTCGAGGGAATACCATGACAGGTTCCTGAGGATCTAAGAAACCTTCTGGGTTTATGTTCATCAAGCAGATGGGCACATGATGTACCTAATTTAGTGATTAATTAAAGGCACTCGAACTCGAAAACTCAACTTGTCAAAAAAAAAAAGTTGTTTGTTTAAGCCGCCTTAGTATACAGATAGAAATCCAGGCCATTTCTAATAAAATAAGTGATACTTTATCAGTAATGCATCATGTTGCATCAAGTTTTGCACCGTTGGGTCCAAAGTAGATAAGGTAGAACATGACAGTTTGTGTAGACAGGGACGGGCGGGCGGAGGAGAAAAGAGAGGCAGAGTGCTCCATGCTCGGTAGATAGATGAAGGAAGAGCGAGCAGAAGGCAAATTAATCAAAGGACATCAAAGGCAAATGGGTTGAGGGAGCGAAGGAATGAAAGAGTGCCGCCCGTTTGTCCCATGCCGTTCCCGCTCCGCTCCGCCTGAGCCTTCTCTCAGATCTCAGGGCCATTGTGCCGCACGGGTGCATGGAGGGGGCTGGGGCACAATGCACACAACAAAACATACACACACTAACAACGTCTGAAAGCTTCAAAAGGAAGATGTGTAATTTTTCTGTCTTGTCAAACTCAAACTCCTCTGTATTCTGTTTCTGAATCTTGTTTTAGTTTCTTGTCCTTGCACATGTACCATTTCCTGCAGTTTTATTCACCATCAATTCACCGGCCGCACAAACTTTAAGTGGAACATCAACAACACACTGTCACACACTCTCTAACACGTACTGTATGTTGTTGTCAGTGTGAACTCAGTGCTGGCTTGTGGCAGCAGTGGACGGCTCTCTTTGATAATGCCCCGCTAGATTCAGCCGCCACTCTTTTTATCGTTCAGCCAGTTAGTTGGCTCAAAGTTGACTCCAATTTGTGCTTCTCGTTTGGGTTCCTGGTTGGCACAGACTTCTTTCTGTGTCCATGTAGACTGTGACCATGCCCCTGTCTGTTGCCTGCGGATGTACAGAACATTTTGTTTAAACCAGTTTTATACTCTCTATCGCTCTCTGCAGAGACTTTTTCAATCCATTGCTGTGGTGTAATATGCATCATTAGAATCACACCTGGCTTTGTGTTGTGGGAGAGAAAAGTGTGTCCTGAAGTGTGCAGATGCTTTTCATTTCATTTATTTATCTATACAGGAAAGGAATTAAAAGTAACATTGTGTGCTACAGTTAAAACTGGCCCAACTCAGTTAAAAACTTGTTTTCAGGAGCTTCCTGTTAAGCAACAAAAACACATTACAATACAAAATGAATGCAGAAACAATCAGCAAAGGCAAAACAACAAAACGCAGGCAGCTACATAGACACTGCAGAGTAGCAGACTGAAGTGAAGTGAGTAAAATAAGATATGAGATTTAAATCGGTGGTTGCAGGTATGTCCTTCCTTCAGATAGTGTCTGTATGCGTGTTTGAAATGTATAATAGAGGTTATTGCTCTAATGTGGTGGGGGATCTCGTTCTAGATCTTAGTGTAAGTATGAGAAAATGATCTCTGACTATAATTGTTTTGGTACAGGAATAAGAGGATGCGAAATTGATCTGGTGACGTTAAAGTGAAAGAATCTGTTCTAAGCAAACTTGCATAACTGATTTTGATACATTTTATTTTATTTCTTTTGTATCTAACCTTTATTTAAGCAGGAATATTCCCACTGAAATTCAAAATTTCTTTTACAAGGGAGTCCTACATTACATATAGGCATATCTTGCATCCTCTAGCACACACAAACCCCACTGTTTTGGTTTAATACACACTCTTTACAGACAAAATTTGAGATTCTTTGATGCAGAATTGCACTTTGAAATCATAAAAGTTTTAAAATGTAAAGTTTGACTTTGTCTCTCTTTCTCTACATACATTTAAGGTGAAATTTTTAAGCAATCCTAGCTTTTAGTTACATTAAGCCTTATTAGAACAGTGGGTTTTACTTCATTTTTTGTATTTAACCTTTACTTTACCAGGAATATTCCCTTTGAGATTCAAAATTTCTTTCACAAGGGAGTCCTGCATTATGTATTGGCAAATCTTGCATCCTCAAGCACACACAAACACCACTATTTTGGTTTAATACACAGTCTATACAGACTATACCAAACAAAATTAAAAGATAATTCAATGCAGAATTGCACCTTGAATGCACATAAGTTTTAAAATGTAAAGTTTTACTTTGTCTCTCTTTCTAAATCTCCATTTCTCCACATACATAAAGGTGAAATGTATGAGCAAGCCTAGCTTTCTATTTACATTAAGCATTATTAGAACAGTGAATGGTCATAAAGCTTTACATGTTCACTGTGATTCTCACATAACGTTGTTTGAGCTCATTTTTGGCGGATGTAAGGATTTAGTCGTATATCAGCTTTCCTATAAAAGCACTATAAATGTGGAAGATATACTATATCTTTCTGATTAAATAAACATTTTGGCTGACAGTCTGTATGTCAGTTTTACTTATACTTTTGTAGCCACACTAAAAAGACACAACCAAAAACTTGACAATAAATGCAAGATGCTAAAACAAAAAAAAAAGTTTCAGTTTTCTCCCAGACTTTAAAAATACATCATGTTCATAAGCACTTTTTTTTTTACTGTATCTTTATGTAACAAAAGCAGAGTTCAGCAGAGAAAGACAAAAGTGATGTGAACTGACAATATTTTAATGGGGGGGATAAAAGACTGTAAGTGATCAATGGAGGCGGCGGCCAAGTGATGCCCGGGGGACGGCTTTGATGTGGGCATCCTCAGAGGGACGCCGGGGACAATGCCCCCTTTGAGGGGCATGCAGAATGGCAGACACTTCCCTCTCTCTGGCTCTCTCACACTCTGTCACTCAACCTCCCTCCATCTCCTGCTCGCTCCTCTCACTCACGCTGCGACTCCTCACTTCAGATGCTCGCAGACGTCTCTGTGGCTCTGCATTCCTCTGCCCCAGTGTCACATCAGCCCATATCCTTATCTGCATAACTTTCTCCCTCTTCCTCTCACATTAATTAATTCAAACAACACCCCCTTTCCTGCCGTCCAGCCAATGACTCCGCCTTCCCCTCCTCCCCCCTCCCTATCTGCATCTCCCTTTCCCTCCCTCTGTCTCTTTTCATAGAACCAAACCTCTTTGTGATGTCCAGCCTTGGCAAGTTGCGCCTGATTTGCTGTCACAGTCTTAATGAATTCATCTGTTTGTGTATTGGCCATGGGAGCATTTCTCCCTCCTCCCTCCCCTCTCCCCCTCACTCTTTCCTATCCTCTCCCCCCCTCCCTCTTACTGGTGTTCCCCTGGGGGCTCTATATATACCAGGGACCACTCCAGGCACCTATTGTTCCTCTAAGTAAACTTACAGACAGATGCCCTGCACCACAGTGTGGGAGAGAGCCCAGAGAGTCAGGAGGAGGGAGACAGTTACGGATTGCAGAGAGCAACCAGACAGTTAGTAAACACTGCAGGCTCGCCTCGCCTCCAGCACCTCTGCATCCTCTCCGGTTGTTCCGCGTGTCTCCTGCCTGTTCGCTTGTTGTCACTGTGGAGTGGAGGTCTGATGCTCTGACACCATGCTGCTGCTGATATCACTGCTGCTTACGGGACTGGACTGCTTGCTGGGAGCCCCGACAGGTCGAGAGGTTTACAGGATGCCCCAGAGTGCGCTCAAAGGTAATTTTTCAGGTTTTGTTTTGCTTCTCAATCATGGCAATATAGTAATAACAGTACCTGTGTGATAACTGCATTGTAAGCGTGAGCGTTGCAGACATCCTCAGATACAGTCCTCCAAAATGTCTTGTCGACAAATCTTTATCTTTTTGATTTAATGCATCATTGTAAGAATACCAAACACTGGTGATGTTGTGATGCTTCAAAGCATTAATATCTCTAGGAGTTAAGCGGAAAAAAACATCTGTTGATATTACCAATCCCAATGAGATAGCCCAGTACTATAAGCGTGTCATACACATACAGTATCTAGTGGAAATTAATACTTTTTGGGCAAGCAGCTTGCACATGTACAAATTCTAGAAATGTTTGTTTTGCTGTCATAGGCTTAAGCTGTTATTTAAGTTGGATACATACAGTATATGCTTTACTGTTTTACTGGTGAGCAGCAGGTGTCTAACCTTAAAAGCATCTTCATAAACTCTTCAAATCAGCAAGGATAATAAAGATGAACAGTTGCGTGAGTTTGTCTTCAGCCTATATTTGTGTACAGATCTCTTGTCAGAGAGCTGCTGGTGAGAAACTACAGTAAAGCAGAGTGGTGAGGGACCTCTGGCCCTCTCTGGTTGAAGTGCTGAGTACATCAGAGCCTTCATACAAACGGCTGGTGGTGGCGGTGTGTGTTTGGAGTGTTTAGAACAAGGGCCCTGGGGTCCCAGCCGCCCCGGGGCTGCCAGCCCGTGCCCCTAGGGCCTGTCCCTACCCACCAGCCTCTGCCAGCTCAGCCCTGGCCTTCCAATTAAGTCTTCAATCAGCATTGTTGTTGTTAGTGGCCTATCCTGTGATGTGGCGCGGCACAGAGGGGGGCTGCAGGGTCGGCGGCCCGATTGATGTGTGTCTGCAGAAGCCTCACCAGCGCGCTGAGCGTGAGCTAGCATCCCTAACACGCTGCCAATGAGCTCAGAGAGCAGCATGAGAAAAAGGGGGCTGATCACACACATACCAGGAAGCCGCACCAGTTTGTACTGATGCTCACATACACACATAATGTTCCCACAGCAAACGGGGGTCGTCCGTGTGACAACCTGTATGTTCTTCCTGTTTTGTCAGAATTCATTAAAAGTACCTTAATTCATAAAAATCTATTACTATGAAAAGTGATATCAGTCCAGCCAGGCTGCGACTGATGACAATATTATTTTCCTCAACAAACAATTTTATAGGAATTCCTTAAATTTGTTTATTAAGCAGTTGCTACCGAAAGAATATACTGTATGTGCATTCGGCCTGGCCAGTGTTTTGATCTGGCTCCTGTGTGCACTTTGTTTCTTCTTCTTTTTAAATTTTTTTTTTGGCCATTTTGCCTTTAATGGACAGGACAGGTAAGTGTGAGGGGGGAGGAGAGAGAGGGGGGATGACATGCAACAACATGCCTTGTACATGGGGAGCCTGCTCTACCACTAAGCCAACAACACCCCTTTGTTCCTTCTTCTGCTGCTGTCGACTTACCTCCTTCTCTGTTTGCATCTTAATACATTTTGAAATACTCTAAATGTTCTTTGTGTTGTCTTTCCGTCCTCTCCTGCAGCTCTGTCTGATCGTGGCACTGTGGTTCTAGAGGCAGCCATGACGAGTGCCCTGTCCGCCCTCGAGCGCGCATCATCTGAGAGAAGTCGGGCTGAGGCCGGCTGTCGGGGCTGTGTTCCCTGTCTGTTTCAGGACTGTGGACAGCTGTCTGGCTCCTGTTGTAAGTAAAAATATTACTCTTCTTGCGCTTTTCATTCTTGAGCATCTTGAGTCACGTTGTCCTGTATTGCCAGTGAATGCTCTCTCCATAACTCCCCTTCTCACCCAACAGCATCTCCTGCCAATGCCTTATCAGAGCCCAACTGTGATGTCATCAGTAAAGCCCAGAAGCTCCAGGATGAGGCTGAGCGGAGCTGGGCTCTGAGCCAGGCCTGTGCGTACTATCAGCACCGCTGCCCAGCTGGTGAACTTGACAAAGAGAGCTGCATCAGGATCATGGGTGAGAGCTGCAGTGCCCGTGTCCTTCAGTGCAGCCTGCTCAACACGATGCAGAATCTGGAGCCTGCGACACAGACGCGTGCTCAGGGTGAGGAGATACATGTGTACATAAAGTACTCATGCAGATTATCTCTGTCAATGAAAAGGTTTTTGCTGTAGTTTTTGACTCTTTGTCTCTGTCCCAGCAGCAGTGTGTGGTCAGAGGTCATCCACGGTGCAAAACATCACACAGCCTCGCTCACGGATTGTGGGCGGGTCGCCTGCTCCTCCAGGCAGCTGGCCCTGGCTGGTCAACCTCCAGCTAGATGGTGGTCTGATGTGTGGAGGGGTCCTGGTGGACAGCTCCTGGGTGGTCACTGCTGCTCATTGTTTTGCTGGGTGAGTGTGCATCACTGTTTTTTATTTTGCAACTATAACAAGATCTTTAATTTTTTTGAAATTATTATTTAGTGTTTCACTCCCACTGCCTCTGATTGTTCTGACCTCTGTAGCAGCCGAAGTGAGAGCTACTGGACAGCCGTGGTGGGGGAGTTTGACATCACTAAGTCTGACCCTGATGAGCAGGTCCTCAAAGTGAATCGCATCATCCCTCACCCTAAGGTAACAATCTAAACCAAAGTGTGGGATACAGTATATATGTTGGGATAGAAACAGGCATAATATAATGTTGTCTCCCATTACACCTTCCTGGTCAACCAATCAAACAAACACATCAGTCAGTCATTTGTCAGTTCCTTCAATCAATCAAACTCTCTCCACCTCCTGCAGTTCAATCCAAAGACATTTAACAACGACATAGCCCTGGTGGAGCTGACATCCCCAGTGGTCCTGTCCAGCCGTGTCACTCCGGTGTGTCTCCCCTCTGGCATGGAGCCCCCTACTGGCAGTCCATGTCTGGTGGCAGGCTGGGGCTCCCTCTATGAGGGTGAGTGGGAGATAATCGACATGTATTTACACTTTAGAGCTATTTATAGCTTTGTTTACTGCAAACAAGCTTAAATGCTTTTCGTCTCCTTTTTGGAAGATTGTTGAGGACTGTGATGTACCAAATTTGTCTATCAGTAGTCAGTATATAATGTAGTGCATTTCTGTGTGTATTTTTCTTTACAGATGGCCCGTCTGCTGACGTGGTAATGGAGGCCAAGGTGCCCCTGCTGCCTCAGAGCACCTGTAAGAGTGCGCTTGGCAAAGAGCTGGTCACCAATACTATGCTGTGTGCCGGGTATCTTTCCGGAGGCATCGACTCCTGTCAGGTGGGCAGAGGAGCACTTTCTAAGAGTTATTGTTAGTGTGGGAATTGCCTTCAGTTACTGAATTGACATAATTTAGCATAAAGGTTTTGTTGCTCTTTTTGTTTCTTACATGTTTTAGCAACACCCAAAACATTTTATGTAAAAAAGACAACAGGTTTTTAACTTTTGGGGGACTTTCTGTCATGCACAGGGGGATTCTGGAGGCCCCCTGATCTACCAGGACCGAATTTCTGGTCGGTTCCAGCTCCACGGCATTACCTCCTGGGGAGACGGCTGTGGGGAAAAGGGCAAGCCTGGAGTCTACACACGGGTGTCTGCTTTCTCTGACTGGATTCAGGCTGAGATAGAGAGTGAGTTTGAAGCAACAATAAAACAACACGAGAACTAAAATATTTTGACTCATAACGTACATTGTGATATTAGAATACTGTCTACAATACTACAACCTATGCAATGCAATGTGTCTTTTTTAGAGTCTTTTGGAAGCAGGGAGCCAACATGTCCGGAGCTTCTGAAGACAACAGACATGACAGAGGAGGAACAGAGGTCAGAGTTCAGCTCTCTGTGTCGCTTCTATACCCTGACCTGCCCTGCTGGTCAGTCTGCCAGCGCTTGCAGCCGAATGGCAGAGGACAAGTGCCTCACCCGCTTTAAGAAATGTCGTGAGTACTCTTATTCAAACGCTCAGCTTGGTGAATGTAGAAGAGAGACTAAAAATACTTATGTTGCTTTGACGTTATGCTTGGAGGTTTTTGATCTGTTGCTCGCTCTTTGCCATCTAGAGTTGCGTTCGTTCCTACAAACCCTGCTGGACTTGCTCCAGAGGGCCGAGGACTACATCCGGGACAAAGTCGACTTGACCTTCTTCACCCAGACGCTGCCTCAGCTGGTGGAGCACATCTATAGCACAGCTTTCATCCACACCAGGGACAGGAGGGACCTGAGCCACGGTCTCTTACAGGTTAAAGGTACATGATTGACAGATTATGTTATTCCATCTTCTGCCCAAACTTAAAATATGAATATTTACGTCCTGCAGTGTTTTGCAGTACAGCTGTCTGTTCTGGTCACTTTTCTAACATGTGTTTTATTATCTGCAGAACAGCTAGGTGGAGCTCTGGGGCCAACAGAGCAGGATGCGTCTCCAGCTCCCCCAGCCTTATTTAGAGAGGTGGGACCATCAGTGGGTGACTGGGAGAAATACCTGAGGAACATGGCTGAGGACCTGGACAAACAACACACTGACACATCCACAGAGTCCACACCAACAAGACAGGAGGACAAACTTTTCTTACAGGTAGATTTTGAAAATGAACAAATGCAGATGAGGTTGCATTGCATTTTAACACATAATATTGTTTTAGAAATATGTTTGAATATTTAGCAATATTTTCAAAACATGCAAACATGTCTTATTGAGTAATGGTGTAAAAGTAAGGTGTTCTGATTAGGTGTTAATATAAGCCTTGCAATATCAAAGAGCACCGCTCATCATTTTCCTTGAGCATTCAACAGGGAATTCATGAAAAGTCAACACTAACACAATTTATGTTTGAATAAGGGTTATTTGACTTTGAAAGGAAATCTGGGAAATTTAGAATGCAAGTGATTGAAGATAGAGACATGACCATTTGTACATCAGTTACTTACCCTGTTACTGTTATATTGAATTAGTGAAAGAAACGTTTTTCTCACATGCCTCCACAGTGAATGAAGAATCCAAAAATTGAGGAAATTCTTGATTAAGTGAGTTAAAGGGAGTCCACATTTGACAACAACAAAACTATATCAAAACATCTGTTTACAAACTCTCAGACAACTCCTGCAGTATGCTCAGTACTTCCCAAACAGACAGACCTTTCCAGCGGGGAACTGAATGGAAAGTGAAGCTTGATCTATGTTCTCTTCAAAGCCAGACGCCATTGAAAAAAAACCAGTAATTTTACTCTAGAAACTCTAGTGTTTCCCTAAACAGATGGTATTGTGTGACTGTGATGAATCCAAGCTAAGGCTTTTAACACTAAAGTCACACAATATCACAAACCAAACAAATAACCAAGGCAGCGGTAGACCAGCAACTTCCATGTTTAGCAAGGTAAAATTGTTGTGTCTGGCAGTAATTTTACCTCGCACATAACAAACTACCGATCGAGGGCTGCCTGTTTTAGTACGGAGCACACAACTGGATCAGTGAGCCTTGGATCAAACTGCTAAAGTTGTGTGAGAAATGGAAGTTTTGATAAAGTGACTTCAATTCATTAGAAATGTTCTCAGTTTTTGGATTCTTCATTCAGGCTTCTGAGGAGAAACTAATTTTTCTTTATGAATGCAATGTAACACATGGTGAGTAATTTATAACAGACGGTCATTTTGGGGGTGAAGTATCCCTTTAATTAAAATATTCTGATATGGGTGAGCACGGCCATCATCAAAGACTGTACTGTGTTTGATTTGCTGCCCTCTGAAAGGCACTACAGATCATTCAGAACCCGGACGAACAGACTTAAATACAGCTTTTTAGCCATAGCAATAAGGACATTGAACCAATTCAAATACGCAAGATATGTGTAATTACTACACTTGATGTGCAATAGTTACAATCAATCTATGACACTACTGTATGTGCAATATTCACAGACGTACTATGTGTAGTTTTTTACCCAGTACTCTTACTTATTGTCTGTTTATTAGTGTGAATATTGGATGGTTGAATGTATAGAGGATAACTGTCAGCACCTTACATGAGTAGTACTCCTAATTTTGTTGTGTTTTTTTAATGATGCAATGACAATAAAGGCGTTCTGATTCTAAAGCCAAACTTAATATCCAACTCTATTTTTACATCTCCAGACAGAGGACTCCTCGGTACATCAGCTAGAGGGAGAACTGCGATCTGTTATCTCAGCTTTGCGCTCCAAACTGTACACCCGAGCTGCTCCTCCCATCCTGCACCTGGACACAAGCTACCTCCAGGAGGATTCTCCCAACAGTCCCCCTTTAACTACTTCATCCACTGGAGCACGGGACCACACTGACCGCTCCTCCTCCTCCTCACAGGAACCCCACGAGCCTTGGTCCCTTCTGTCAGCCCTGATGATTGAAATGCAGAAATTAAGCGCACAGGATGAAACTGGTACAGAAGATGTGTCACAAAGTGAAACTTCTCCTGATGTTAACTGGAGTGCCACATCAGAGGAGTTTGCTTTTGTTGAGAATGAAGACAGAACAGAATCAAAATCCTCAGCGTTGCCGCTTCTGGTGCAGCCAACAACTAACGTTCAACCGGTCACGGAGCGCGCTCACACAGAGACTTGTGACCCCAAACAAGCTGCGCATGTTGCAAAGACATTGAGTCTTCACAGAAAATATCGGAGCCTTCTTCGCAAGAGGCAGATACCTGGGGCCGGTGGGAAAGGTATGTGCCTCACCTAGTTCTCACAAAATAATCCATGTAATGTTTGTTGGTATTTCTCATATGAAATGTTTTTTGTTTGTTGCTGCAGTTTGTCCTGGAGTGAGAGAGTCATCACAACAAGTCAGCCAAGTCAGAGACTCGTACAGCTGGGTCTTAAACATCCCAGGCAAGAACCTACGCATGAACTTCCAAGAGGTAAAACATCATTTTAGACGGAGATGTTAAGAGACGTAAATATGCACTGGTAAAGAAAAAGATTTGTCATTTTAATTTTCTCTCTGTCCTTACTTTATTGGGTTTCTTGTTCTTTAGGTTTTAGTTGATCTGAGCTCCAAGAACGATCGAGGACTTTACCAAGCGCGAGTCAGAGCTGTAGTGGGAGGACGACCTTTGACATTCTACAGTCTTGTGGGCCTGGAGAATGAGTCATTCTACCGCAGTGTGCCAAGGATCATCGCTTTGGCACTGGAGGCACTCAAGACTTAATTTTATCAAAACAGCAAGTGAGATGACATGACACACAAAAGACTCATGTGAGAGACGACAGCACAGACACTCAAAAAAGAGACCTCGTCATGGGACAGAGAGACGCACACAAAATGCACACTCACTCAGACTTTACTTCCTCTGCCGTCTCCTGTGAAAACCACTATTTTGCTTCCCCCATCTGAGAGCTGGACTTTGGCTCTAAATGAAAACACAACCACGAATGTATCAGTCCAACTATCGCCCACACATCATGCCACAGGATGTTTTTTTTTATGTGGTTGGAGATGCAGCCTTGTCTAACTTATGAATCTGTACAAAATAAGTTATTCATATTGTCTTTTGCAAAGGTTGAGCCTCTTGTGAAGCACACAGACTGTATATATTATTCCTATACTTACCTTATTCTTACCATATTTATTTGTATAAAGAATTTGTATTTTTGTAAAAAATAAAAAAAATAAAAATCTATATATAAATAAAACTGTTATTAATGCTAAGGCATGTTGTGTTGATTGTCGTGCTAATCTGTGCTCATGTAACTACAAATTGAACTTCAGATGTTAGATATTCAAATTAGCCGACACTAATGCTGCTAATCCTGCAGTATTTTGCTGCTGGTGTACAGCACTTCTGCCGACACGCACCGTGCTCTCTCGTGATACATGTCCATGTTGATTAGTTTCTCCCGTGACCCCAGATTGACCTCGGTCCTCCGACCCTTTAAGGGTAAGCTTTCCCATCAACACAGCAGCTGCAGTGACCAGGATGTCCCACCTCGTTCCTGTCTTCACTCCCGGGGGGGGATTGTAACTGGACACACAGAACCAGGCTGACCTTTAGAGCCTCTTATTGTCCGTCATGAGTCAGAGCAGTTCGAGTGAAGACAACTGCTGCTTGAGGAAGTGGCACTCTTAAATTGTGGACAAGATTTGTCTTCTTTTTTAAAAAAGTTTATTCAAGGAGTTTTATATTTGTATTTTACATACATCAAATTTTGCTGTGAAAGTATTTTAAAAAATTCACTTCAAATGAATTTTGGCAGATGTGTCGTAGTAAAGCTGCTGGATTTTGGACACAATTGTCCCCCTGTCCTCTGCCACCCAAACTGCTCCACAGTCCTTTGCATCCCATTTTGTAACGGAGTTAGCTTTAGTCTTAATGCCTGGTTGAGTTTTGTGTGACGAGGCTGTGCTAGCTCAGACCTCTGGATTCGCTGCTAAATGCTTTGCATCGAGGTGATATTTCAGGCTTTAAGCACTTCAATAGTACGAAAATTCCTGCTCCTATCAACTGGGAGTATTTTAAAACATTAATGTTCTTCTCACGGGGCCAAGCAGTGTCGTCTCGTCCGCCTCCATCATGTGACAGAGCCACTGTGGCCTTCAATGACGCATCGGGTCATAGGTCACCACGGAACATGATTAATCAGCACTAATTATTTTTTCTATGATTAATTAATCAAAATTAATGTGTTATTTTGACAGCCCTGAACACGTGCAAACATACTGAGCTTGTACAGATATTACTCCACATCAGACCTGACCCTTATCCCTCCAGGGTTCCTACGGTTGTGGAAAACCTGGAAAATTATTTAGTAAAACTCACTGAAAGTTTTGGAAAGGTCATGGAATGTTGTTGTGTGTGATGAAATTGTTACAGTAATCTTCTGTGGATAACCTTCCACATAGTGTTACATATGTGGAACATTATGTGGATTGCCATTGTGACATAAGGGCAAATATTTTCTCAAGCTGTTAACATACTGTAGCTCCAACATGCACTGATGTGTTAGACTGTGTTGTTTACCATCACGTACGCTTCTTCTTTTCTCCCCATGATCCGTCTCTCCCTTCATGTATGCCAGCAAGCTGAAATTATGATTGAATAGACTTTGAATCTGATATGTTTTGAAACTGCCAGGCAAGTTTGGCCAAAAAGATAATAATAATAATGTATTACAAATCCTTGAGCAGTCATGAAAAAGTCTGGAATTATGTCCATGAAAATGTACGGGAAACCTGTCTCTCCACACTGCCCCTGGGATCAAGAGCATACTCAGGGAAGAACAATGAAATAAGACAAACTACAAAATAATAAAATTTGGGGGGAGAAGAATAAGTAAAGGGATAGATTATATTAGCTGATAAATAATGATAAAAAATAGAAATATAAAATGTTAAAAAATGAATTAAAAACCTTAATTGAAAATATAATACAGATGTAGGTTGTAAAATAAATTAAAAAAATAATTGTAAAAATATTGATATGATAAGAATCCAACCTCTATCTTTGCTGTGTGTGTTTGACTATTTGTCCACCTCACTGTGAGTCTCAGCTACAGTCTGGCCGCAGCTCTGATAGCCTGAATGAACCCAAATAAACCAAAGTCTCTTCACAACTACTATCTGTGCACTAATCTGTGGCACTTTTCCGCCTGGTCTGAGTGTTAAAAGAGGGATACACAGGGATGCGAGTGCAACAGCTGAGTAAACACTCGCACATACTTCTGTTGCAACCCGTCAAGTCCTGCCCCTGCTGGTGTGTTTGTGTGGGGGAGGTGTGCCAAGTTATGGCAGGAATAAATATTTTTGTGACGCACACACACGCATAGAGTAGTGACACAGAGCCTGGCCAGTCATCACAGAGGCTGTGCTGTAAATGGACGAGACTTATCACCTGTTCTCTCGTCCACTGTGCGGCACACATGGTGCTGCTGCCGTCTCCTTCTCTTTATTGTTTAATCTTTCTGTCTCTCATCCCTTTATTATAAATACACATTCAACCAGGGCTTCTGGTAGAAAAACTAGCTTTTTATAGATGACCGGCGGGCTAAATTTGCCCTAACAGAATCCACGAGTTATGTTTCTCTGCTCATGTGGACATCTGAGTGACAACAGCCAGGTGCACTGAACTGAATTATAAAACAGTGTGTGTTTTAACGGTGTACTTTAACGCTGGAGGGCAGCCATGCACTGAGTACAATACCTAAACTATGTGCTTGTCATGTTACCAGTGTGTGTGTGTGTGTGTGTGGGTGTGTGTGTGTGTGTGAGACAGCTGGCTATGCAGAAATAAACTCTTGGATTTAACTCTAACAATTGTCAACTCCCCCACCGTTCCTGTAAACCTCAATCCTACCCACAGCCCATGCCCTGACTTCTGCTGGGAAACACACACACACTTTCATACACACACAGTTTCAGTGCCAGCAACTCCATCAAGTAGTGTCCGTGTGTATCAGATTAGTGAGCATTGCTTTGTCTCGGACAGCACAAGCACACACACTGATGGATTCTGGAGCTCCGCTCTCGCCGTCACTCTTCATGAGGGTGTTTATGATTTCTGCCACAGGTAGGCAAATCAACCTGCTGCCATGTTTGTTAGTTTCTAGGGATCTGCATGGTGTGGTGTGAATTTGTGATGTCTTATTGTCAGATATGTGTTAAATTAAATGTGAAAACAACTTAGACAAAGGTACATTCATCAAGAAGGCACCTAATTTACATCCAACTGTAATAATTCAATTAATTATTAATTCAATTTAATTATTTAAATATATAAAATCATTATGCTTCACAATCAAAGGAAACAGTGGTACTCATCTCCCAGACAGTTGTCCTTACAAAGGTTGCAGTCAGCCAACAGCACCGTTCACCTAACATGATGCCCAGTGGCTGGTAAACAACACGAATCTATTTTTGTTGTAAATATATATTGTTACTAAACCGTAGTGCATTATCTGGCAGGACATGCTGCCTTTATAAAGATGGAAATTCAGACATAATTTGTAGAGCTGGATCATAGCCATATTGTCTGTGTTCAGTGTGCTCTACTATTTTATCATTGGCCTGGTAACTCCGACAAAAGTGACTTCATGCTGATTCCAATTTCACACTCCGTTTACTGGAGGGACCATCAGCTGTTTGCTGTTGTATGATAATATGTAATATACTAATAATATTTTTTTGTATAGCACTTATCTAAACAAGGTTACAAAGTGCTTCACAAGGTGCATGAAAATAAGACAACATGATATAATATTTTTAAAAAATGTCAAGAGCAGAGAACAATTGTGTGTGCAGAGGCAAAAATAGAACAAAAGGAAATACAAATGAGGCATTAAAAGGGAAAGCTTTCCTATAAAAATATGTTTTAAACAATGATTTAAAAACAGGTAATGTGTTATCCAGCCTAATCTCCTCAGACATGAGTATTCCAGAGCCTCGGGGCATCGATAGCAAAAGCCTGGTCACAAAAAGCGCAGTCCCCTTTAATTTCCAGCCTTTATCAAGGGATGACCTGTGAGGTTAGGCTGGAGGATCACAGGTCACGACTTGGAGCACAGGTAGTGAGAAGTTCAGTAACTGGGGGCTAAGTCATGTTGAGCTTTAAAAGTTATTTAAAAAAAATCTTAAAATCAATTCTGAAGTTAAAAGGCAACCAGTGGAGGAAGGGATATGATACAAACTAACACCAGACACCAGCAACATTTGTTTGTCATTGGTAAGTTTGCTGAACCTACCTTGAAGCCAATTGCGCAGCTATTCAGTTGCTTTAGTCAGTCTGCTCTCTTTAGAGTAAGCTTGTCTTTTTTAAATGATATTTTACTGAATTAAATTCTTTATTTTTGTCCTGATGTGTTTGTGCTCCAACAAAGTTTCTACTGTAAATTCAACTGGTATCATGGTTTAAAAAGGTCACCTACTCATGGCTTTGATATAAGAGAAATTTCATCTTGACAGGGTACTCCAGTAATTTTATACTGCACTTACACACATGCATCGTTGGGGGATTCATAAGAGGGCAGTTTAAAAAATAATGGTCAGAACAGAAGCAGCAGAGGCTCAGATATCCTGACTTTCAGTCCATAGCATGCATCAAGAACCGAAAAACAATGGATCCTACATTTCCCATAATGCAACTCAATAGTGTCTTTAATCAGAACATCTCCTTAGTGTCCACATCATTCAAGCTGTATGTCCAGTTTGTAATGTAGGTCATATGTTAAAGGGTAAGTTTGGTATATTTCAGCTTGGACCCTCTTTTATTATGTTTTTGTATCTAAGTGACTACTGGGAACAACAGTTTTTCAAACTGGTCCAGTATTGAACGAGACTGCTGTGGCGAAACAGTCTGCAATATAAACACTTGGGGCATATTTGCGTCATCAATTTCCATCCACTAAAAGTGTTTGTTTTTGCCACTGACTGACTCGTACTAATATTTTAACTGTCTGACAACTCACGGGAACAGAACAAAATCGCTATCGCCAAACCAAACCCCATTTAAATAAATAGTTATTTTAGCATGTACAGAGTCAGCGTATTTTCACATCTAACTTGGTGATTTAAGGGTTTATTTTAACCCAACCAGAGTTAGTGATTGTTGGAACT